TTAGCCTGTCAAACTAGGGTGATGATGCCAACTATTTTATAGGCATTGTATTTTAGTTTATCAAATGAACGGTCATATTTAAGATATGTAGATAGTGTAGCAATTACACATTCCTATATTTAATTAACATACTAAATGGAGTTCTGGAATTAACAGACATTCATTCTGGTACTACAATAAAATGAGTAAGATGATCAGGATTTTTTGAGATTAAAAAAATGTATATGAATAATTTAGGCTGTAAGAGAAAGTACAAAGATAGCTCCTAGGGTTTGTGACTGAGCAACTAGGTAAAAGAAGGTGATGTTTAATTTAGCATCAGGGGAGTATTGGGTTTGAAGGGTGGAGAATCAGGTGTTTGGTTTTAGACACACACTTCTTGGACATGCATATCTGCCTATTAGACATCCAGGTGGAGGTACTGGCGAGGCAATTGTATGTATGGGTCTAGAATTTATGGAAGAAGACAGAGTGGGAAATAGAAATTTGAGACACATTGGTATATAGATGGTCTGTAAAACATGAGTCTGAAAGAAGCAATTCAGGAGCAAGCATAGGAAGAGTATAGAAAAGGAAGTGTGCCAATATTGAGAAGTCATGAAAATGTTCAGGAACCAGGCAAGGAGAGGAAAAAGGTGAATAGTAAAATGGGAGAAAGATCACGAGGAGTTCACCTAGAAGTGAAAAAAATGTTCAGGAAGAAGAGAGTTCTAGCAACTGTGACAAATGGGATCACGGTCAGGCAAGGTGGGAGCAGAGAGCGAACTACTGGATGCAGCAAGTCCATGATGAGTGGACATCTTCACAAGAGTGCTGGGGTCAGATGGTGAGGAATTTCTGATCAGTTGGATTCCAGGGAGAAGGATAAAGAGAGATTGGAGACGGGAGATACAAGACAAAGTCTGGTGAGGTCTGGGAGAGGACACGGGTGGTAGTGAGAGGGGAATGTGTGCCAGAAGAGGGCTTTTGTTTGTGTTTTTCAAAGATGAGAGCCATAGACGCATGCCTGAGTGCTTGCTGGTGGCACAGTAAAGAGAAAGCCATGATTTAGGGGAAGAGACACGTCTGACAGCCAGTTTGAGCACAATGCGGTTAAGTCTGGAAAGAAAGAGGCTGGGAGACGGTGCAAAGAGCATGAAAAACCACTTATATGGTTCTTGCCCACTTACCCATTCAACAATAAACACTGTGTGTGCCACCAGGCTTAGGATCTCTGTGATCAAGTCTGTGATCATAGGATATGGTATAGTAGAGCAATGATAATGACATTTTTGTTGTTGTTGTTGTTGTTAGAGAGTTCCTTTAAGTTTTTCTAGAAGTTGTCTACTACATAGCAGAGAAATATAAGGTAGTTCCTCCCACCTTTTTTTTCCCCAAAAAATTTAATTAAAAAAAGAAAACCAACAAGAAATCCGTTTCTTTTTTTTTATAATTTTATTTTTTATTTATGATAGTCACAGAGAGAGAGAGAGAGGCAGAGACACAGGCAGAGGGAGAAGCAGGCTCCACGCACCGGGAGCCCGACGTGGGACTCGATCCCGGGTCTCCAGGATCGCGCCCTGGGCCAAAGGCAGGCGCCAAACCGCTGCGCCACCCAGGGATCCCCAAGAAATCCTTTTCTTCCAAAAGCTCAAACCAAAAGAATTTTCACCAGACAGCAGTTCTTTTTTGAGGAAAAAAAGCAGGCAGGGCAGGTGGAGACAGAGGTGGCACAGGTGGAAAACATAGCTCACCTGGCTGTCCTGTTCATTCCTGCTGTTAAATGATTCCCTTCCATCAGGTCTGGCCTGAGGTGTTGTGTGTGTTGTGCCAAAGCCAAATGAACGGGTAAACATTTCATTTGTATCTTGCAAATATGTTTTTCAATGGTGTGATGGAAAACCAAGGGTTCCTTTATTGTTTAAACCTACTTGGATGGCAACAAGCTATTTTTCTAAGCCTTGTTAGGCTGCTTCCCAGTTGACTTGAATTGGAAATTTTCCAATGTGGTTATAAAATAAGGTGCCTTCTCAAAAGTTGGTTGTTGGTTTTGTTTTTGCTTTTCCTTTATTTCTTCCAACCCAAGACCCAGGGCTCCTAGCGTATAGCTTCCAGCTTGGGGAACTTAATATGACACTCGCAGATGTCATGTCCTCTGCCTCCAAAATAGATGGATTGAGGAAGGAAGGAAAAAGAGGGAGAGGAACCTATCACATCATTCCTGTTGACATGACATGACAACTGCAAATACTTCAGAGAGTAAATAGGAGACTCTTAAAGGAGCTGTTTAAATACTGGTTATTCAGAGGCAGTGTCAGTGATCCATGGCATATAACCAATATATTTTATTAATCATAAACTACAATATGTGATATATTTAGACACTGGAGTTGCTCTAGGCAGCAAGCCACACTTGCTTCCTGTAGTTGATCAGTTTTGTTTTATTGTTGTTTAATTTGTGATGGTGCATTAACTTCTAAATCTAGAAGGATTATCTATCCAGTGGAAGGAGTCTGCATCCGGATTGGGGCCTGTGTCCTATCTTTATTTTTCTGTCCCATATTTACAACTGCTGGGCCCTCATAGAATTTTTTTTAAATGAATACTGATAGGAAAAAAAAAGCATACGAAACAACCGTTAACATCCTTAGAACACATTATGTAGTTTCAACATTGGATTGATTTTGTTGATTTTTTTTTTTTTTCCTGGAGTGGTAATTAAACCAGTGGCTTCATGGAATCTGGAATTTAGTAAACCACATGTTTACACCCATTTTCATTTACATAAGTTAAAAATTACAGAATATGTGTTGATTGGAAAGCTGTTTATTACCTCCTGTATTATTTCAAAATGGCAGACTGAATTGCATATAGAACATAAGGTGTGTCTTATCCCAAATTTGGTCAAAATTGGCTCACACTCCAGAAAGATAAAGTCAAGCTTAAAAATGCCTGAAGCTGGATTGATGGAGCACATTGAATGGCCTCCTTTGAAAAACATGTATGGGGGCACCTGGGTGGCTTAAGTGTCTGCCTTCAGCTCAGGTTATGATCCCAGGGTTCTGGAATTGAGCCCCGCATCGGGCTCCCCATTCAGTAGGGAGTCTGCTTATCTCTCTCCCTCTGCTCCTCTACCTAGCCTGTGCTTGCCTTCTATCACTCTCTCTCTTCAAATACCTAAGTAAAATCTTAAAAAAAAAAAAAAAGTGTGTATGTATGTCACAGTTTACATTATCAAAAGCATTCTTAAATAAAGACATGCAGAAAGGTGAGATGAAGTCAAATGCATGGCAGGGAACATTATCTCAATATATGCATCTCCTCCCTTCCCCCCACAATCCAGTTACCCCCTCCCCACCATGCATGTGTTCCCCATGCCAAGAATGGCCGGCCACTGCTACCACGCAGGAGTCTTAGGGATCTTCCTTGACCACCCATTCTCACCCCTCTTCACTTGGCCCAATTTAGTGCTACTGTGTTGTAATTTTAAGTATATTTTCTGGTTGTTTTGATATCTGTGAGTTCTCCTGTCACTGTTTTTTTCCTAAATTTTTCTGATTACCTTTACTGCTCCAGACTAATTTAGAGCTGCCCTCTCAAGTTCTGTTAATAAAAATCCTTTGAAATAGGTCACTGGAATTTTATTGCAAATACTGAGATAAAGTTGTCAACATAATATTGCTATGTAATCCCATTTGGGAACTGTGTTTTAAAAATTAAGATCTTTTGAATATCCTTTTACCAAGTTTTATAGTTCTTTTTGTAAAGGTTTTATGCTTTCCGTGATAGGATTATATATTATATATATATGTACATGTATATAAGTATATACACATCTTATGTATGTAAAATATATATTACATATGTGTTAGTACACGTCAATTATATATATGTATTTTCTTTCATGTAGGTGTTTATTCTGATTCTTTTTTTAAATTAGTATATGGGGTGGATTTCTGTATGTTGATTTTGTGTTTAATCACTTAACTAAAATTTCTTGGTATTTTTATTTTATTTTATTTTATTTTTTTCTTGGTATTTTTAAATGAAAAAAATTGTCTTAGATATTTTAGGACAAACACTAGATCATTCATGGGCAACAGAAATCTTGTTATTTCATTTTTAGTGTCTATACTTCTCCCTCTCTCTTATTTAACTGACTGGGACAGGCAGGACTTTGTCAAGTTCTAATGGAAAAGCTTTTAATGTTTAATTATTAAGTCAGATGTTCACTATAGATTTCTGGCAGATAGCTTTTTTTTTATCATGTTAAGGAAATATTTTTTTTCTCTTCTTAGATTACTAAATAGCTTATGGTTCTCTCCATTTTTCAAGTTCACAAACATGCCCAAACCCCTCTGTACCCTCTTTCACCACTGATTCTTTGCTCATGGTTGGTCCCTGCTATGATATCCTTTCAACATCTTTTAAGACTACTCTTCAGTGTTGCCTCTCTATAAGGCCTTTCTGGACCAGCTTCCTGTGTCTCTCTTATTCTTCCTTTGCATATTTGTAACTGTTTTTGGCATATCCTTCTCCCTTTAAAACTACAAAATCCTAGGACTGAGTGCCTTAACCATTTAACTTTTTTGTATCCCAAATGCCAAAGACACGTGTGCAGCAGAAGTACCATTAACATGGTTTTAGTAAATAATGAATATAAGAATTATTAAAAAGTTTTCTATGGATGATGCAAGTAGGTGAATCCCCTTACTTAGATAATACTTTATTGTTTTCTGGAATTTCTTTCTCTGTTTCTTAGAATTACTTAGAAGTAGTTTGCAATTTCTTCAACTTTGTCCATTGTTTGTTTTCTAGTAGAACAATGCTAGGACATGGCCCTCTGAAAATATGCCAGTTATTGGAGAGGAGGAAAAATTAACAAAATGTTGCATATGTTCTGTTAAATCTTGAGAGGAGGATATCTTTTGTTGGTTACCAAAGCTCAGAAGAATAAAAGTTGTTCTTGAAATTTTCACTTAATTTTATTAGAAGATACACCTTTGTTTTTTTCTGTGCAGGGAATTACTATCCGACCACTAGTGGAATTTCTTGATGTTAAGAGGTCCAATAAGAAACAGCAAGCAGTCAGTGAAGAAATCCATTGCCGGGTAAGTGTTAATGTAGTAATAATGATTTAAATGATAGAAGAAAAACTTGGTGGATTCAGTTGACAGCATATTCTGGCACTCCTTTCCTGAAGGAGAAGGAAATGGCAGAGGGGAAAAGGGAGAGAGGGCCAAGAAGGGCATGAGTTGGGGGGTGTAGAGTGAGCACAGCCCCAGGGTGCCTTCTCCAGATTAATCTGCTAGACCCCTCGGGAATGCGAGAACAAGGAATCCTTTTTTTTTTTTTTTAGATTTTATTTTAGAGAGAGAGAATGAGAGATCACAAGCAAGGGAAGGGGCAGAGAGAGAGGGAGAGTGAGAATCCCAAGCAGAATCCCTGCTTAGCTCAGAACCTGACTCGGGGCTCAATCCTGTGACCCTGAGGTCATGACCTGAGTAGAAACCAAGAGCCGGCTGCTCAACCCACTAAGCCACCCAGGCACCCCAGGAACAAGGAATCCCTCTTGTAACTTCCTTCAATCTGAAAATGTTTCCCCTGGAAAAGTATCATCATATTTCATATTTTCCAAAATTATGAACAGACTGTTATGAGAAAAATAACCTGAGAATTATCTAATACTGATATAATAAAATCAGTGTATTTAGAGATGAATCATTGTTTCATTGCTTTTAGTAAAAATAAAACAAACAAAAACCCAACAACAAGAAGAAGCAAAAACAGTCAGGGTCTTTGAAGTTTAGGCATCCTATAAGTAGAGTGCAAATTACTGATTTCGGGTAAAAATTAATCAGTAGCCTACTTTTTCTGTTTTAGTTTTTTGATCATGTGAAGACTGGGATTGAAGATGTTTGTGGACATTGGGGTCACAACTTTTGGAGAGACAAGTAAGAAGGTCTTCCGCCATTATATTATGAAGCGGCTCTGGCTCACTCTGGAAGCAGGACTTACTGACCTGTGTTTTTTTTTCAGAGTTGCAAATCTTTCCTGTGTTGTGCCATAGTGTGTCCTTTAAGATAAAGTTCAGCAAATCACAGAGACCTGGAGCAAGATAGAGGCTTATTTTGCTCCCTGTAAGAAGCCAGAGCTCTGTAGCTAATGTAGGTGTAATAGATGAACTTTGCTCCACACACACCTCATGGTCTCAGGACGCTTCTGTCCTGGTGAATCCACTAACATCTTCCATTTCCAAGGTTGACTCTTAGAATAGAATGGGTGCTCCAGCATTAGCCATCATGCATACGGTCCAGGCTGCATGTAGGAAGAAAGATAATGTGGAGACAAAGAACATGTACTGGCTTCCTCTTAACTGAAGTTATCAGAAGCTTTCACGCAATTCTTCCAGTTACACACGTGGCCTGGCCTTCTGTGGCTAGCACTCAGCCATGTAGGCATTTCTCACTGCAAGGGAGGCTGAGGAATGCAGTCTATTTGGTGAAAAACTGAGGATTCTGTTCCTGTTTGTTCTCCCACACATGTTGAGGGGCTTTGTCAGATGCAGAGCTTGGAGCACCTAACATTATAAATAGACTAACGAGTATTTTACAAATACATTTTAAATACAAATATTGTAACAAATAGAAGTAACAAATATTCCTAAAGCTAAATTTTTAAAGATTATATGTGCTTATGTAAATGTGTCTATCTAGTTCTTTGTTTTTTGTTTTGTTTTGTTTTGTTTTGTTTTTGTTTTAATCTTAAATGGCTTTGTGGTGGATAAATAGAATTCAGTGCCTGTCTTCAAGGATCTCATAGTTGAAATGGACGAGGTGTCCTAGCTGGGCAGAATTAGGTACGTGCTTGAAAATAAACTGAAAAGCAGACTTATGGGATTGATTCTGACAGCAGGGTCAGGGACCACGAAGTGTAGGAGCTGGCTTACCTGGCCCCCAGGAGCTGACAGTGAGCCTCATTCACAAGGGTAGGGGTAGCTTGAGGCAGCCATGGTGGGGGTGTGCCGTGGAACTGACAAATGTTATAAACCAGGGCATTTTTTCGTCCCCATAAAGCAGTTTGTGAACATTTATCAGCACATCACCGGTTAGGAAGGCCTTTGGAAGGAGACAGATGACAGATTTAAACTCTATTTTGGTAGCTTCCTCTTGCCTTCTTGCCTTGGCTTTCCTCACTTGCTAATAGTTTCTGGCCCTCCCCTCTGCAAACTTACGTGAAGTTGACCAGCCTCCCAGTGTATGTAGTTTAACAGAAGGGTGCTGTTGAGTGCTCATTGTCTGTTCACGTGTTCTGACATGATACTAGATTATATGAGAAGTATAAACCATAGACTCAGGACTTTAAAATTTTAACAATATAATAAAGGCCACAAAACAGTCACACAGCAAATGTGTGTATGTGTGTGTATGTGCGTGTGTATGCGAGATATCATTAAGTGATGAGATGCATTGCAGAGATTTTAAGTGCTAAAACAACCTTTACAAACCTGACCACACTGTTTACTAATGTGGAAAAGCCTCTTGGACCTTGTGTTACCGTAATATGTAAAGAAAAAATATTTTATTCATATGGAGAGAGCACCCAGTTAGTTACATGGGGGCACAAAGTAATAAAGCAAACTAAACTCTCCATTGTAAAAATATGGGAAAAAGATGACCATTTATCTTGGGCGGGATTTACATTTTTGAAGGCAGGAGGTAGGTGAGAGAACCCTACCCATCTGCCCTGTGACTTTCTATGCCACCCTGCTTTACATCCCCGGGACCTTCCTACCTAACAAAGATGGATCCTTGTCTTTGCCAAGCCAGCGATTCAGACTTTTTCTGCCTCCCATTCTGGGTTGTTTTTTTTTTTTCTTTTTCTCAGCCAGGTCTATTTTCCACTTACATCCTCCCTTTCCACCTGACTGCTTTTCTTCCTTCTCCAGCATTCCATCATCAGTCCTTCCCTGGAGGGAAAAGAGAGAGCAATCACCCGGAACAGTTGGTCCCTTTCCAATGGGGAGACTGGGTTAAGGATTTATACCACTCTTCTGCCTCCCAGACAAGGGTAAATAGACGGGAGTAGATGTAGGCATCAGGGCAGCAGTCCCTGGGGCAGTGTTAGGAGAAAGTAGTAGACTCTGTGATCATGTGGATTTGGTCTGGAACCTTTGGTAAAAGAACTTCAGGGAAAGTCTGGCTACATTCTCTTTCAGGCAGAGATACTGTGTCTCTGGGGTACGTGAGTCTGTTCAGGCAAACATCTACAGCCTGCCAGGCTAATTGGACCATAAATACTAAAGGTGGCAGAGCCAACTCTGATTTCATGTCTGAAAGGTAATATGGCTATGTGTCTCACATTTTTCTCTGCAGCGTACATACTTCACTCAACCCCTGTATATTTCCATGCATGACATTCTCCAGGTAAGGTTCACATAATTCCCTGTATTGTCAAGCACACTGTATATCGCAGGTAGAGCAGAGAAGTGTGTGTGAGTATGGAGGAATTTGGTGCTGACGCAGGTCATTTTTAAAATTAGCTCTGCTCAGATCCTATCTCTGGTATGTACATAATTGTTGATGTTACTGAAGATCACATATAAAGAAGAGGATTGTTTTAGGTATGTTGGGTATCTTTCCATTTCTTCTGGAATCCTTAATGCTGTGGATTTCTAGTGGTCTTGCCAGAGAATTTGTGAGGCATCTGATCCTTGGAGAAACGGTAAGGCTTTTTGATTAGGCAAGTTTCTCAAACTTGGTAAAATGGAGAAAGAGAGTGCCTCAGTGTAGGTTGGCAGAGAAATGAAAGGTGTGAAAATAAAGAGAGCACAGGGTTCCTATGCTAAATGGGTCAGATGCTCTTGCCCTTAATGCTTATTCTTCCTTTTGTTTCTCTCCAGTGAAAAGCCAAAACAATAATAAAAATAACAGAAGTTTAAAGAGTCTTGGCCCAATGGCCTAGTGTGAAATTCAGAATAAACTTCAAAAAAACTTGGCCCCGTCTATCGTAGTGGCCAGTTGAATGGATGACTCTTAAATTATTCATCACCCTCCAGTGTAGAAACAAAGGACTAGTAACAAGAATGTGGGCTCACCTTGTTTCCTTTCATAGCACAGGTGTACCTGTAAATCTCCTTGGGCTTATGGTAATCACTGTAATGCATTTCTTTCTTTCTCCACAAATACTCATTGCATGCTGTTTTGCTTACCTGTTAGCATAATGATGTTACATAACAAACCACCCTGATACTTAGCTGCTCAAACAACAGTCACATTATTAAAGCCCATGAGTCACGAGTCTGAGAGTCCAGGATCTGGGCTGTGCTGGGCTGATGTGGCCCCGGCTTGCTCATGCTTCAGAGGCTTGGCCTTCTCTGATGTGACTGGAGGGACTGAACTTTATTTCATGTGGCATTACCCTTTGTCCTGGGACTAAAGAGTCACTCCACCCATATCCTTCTCATGGTAATTGTGGAAACAAGAGAGGTAAGCTTAATATGCAAGCTCATTTTAAGCCTCTGCTCTAATTGTCTTGTCTGCTAGAGGTCACTGACCAGAGCAGGGAACATTATTGGGGCCAGTGGCAGGAAACAGGACAGCACAGGCCACCTAGGCCATGGTGGAAGGACATTGCCAAGTATTATGGCAGAGGGTGTCGTATACAGGGAGGAATTGAGACCAAATGATCCGTTCTACAGTCTGTGCTTATAGTGTGCCTGGCACTGTCCTAGGCACTGGGGATATGGGAAAAAGTAGAAAAAAAAATTATTGCCCATATGTATCATTCTAGTGCTAGAGGACAGAAAGGAAGATAAATTGTATAGCATGTTAGAAAATGATAATTGCTATGGAAAAAAAAATACACCTGCAGGTAGAATAGGAATCCAGGTGGTGGGAGGAGGCATGCAGTTCTAATGGGATGAACGGGAAAGGCTTTTTTGAAAAATGACTGCTGAGGAAAGACTTAAAAGGAGGGTCTGCAACAGAGCCCTGAAGGTGTATTGGGGGAGGATCTTCTTGGTGGAAGGAACACCAGGTATCAAGGCCCATGGTTGGGAGCAGAGCTGGTGAGTTTCCAGGGAAGGAAGGATACCAGTGAGGCTGGGTGTGAGAAGCACAGTGCTAAGATAGGCAGCTCCAAATTGTGTAGGGTCTCCAGGTTGTTGTACATGTTCTCAAGAGAGATGTAGAGTTTTAGGTGGTTTGACTTATATTTTATCAGGATCACTCTGGCTACTGTGTCGAGTAGTCTGTAGGAATGCTGTGGTGGAAGCAGGGACACCAGTTGGGTGCCTGTTGCAAGAATCCCCTGAGGGATGATGATGTCTTAGACCAGGGTAGATCCAAGAGATAGGAGTATAGAAGGGGTGAAGAAGCATGGTTTGATTGTGTGTGTTGATGGTGGAACTAACAGAAATTGCCAACAGAGTGGATATGGAGTATTAGTTTTCTAGAGTTGCTACAACAAAGTGCCACCGATTGGGTGGTTTAAACAGTAGAAATTTATTTTCTCACAATTGTGCGGGCTAGAAGTCCAAGATCAAAATATCAGCAGAGTTGGTTCCTTCTGTGGGCTGCAAGGGAAACGTGTTACAGGCCTTTCTCTTAGGCTTGCAGATAGCTGCCTTCCTGCCTCTTTATGTGTCTATGTCCAAATTGCCTTTAGTCATAGAGACAACAGTCCTATTGGTTTGAGAACCACCCTAATGACCTCATATTAAACCCTATCCCCAAATACAGTCACAGTCTGAGGTACTAGGGGTGAGGACTTCAACCTATGAATATTTAAGGGCACACAATTCAGGCCGTAACGTGGAATGTGAAAGAAGGAGAAGGATCAGAGGTGGCATCAGGTTTTTTGATCTGGTAGAATGGTCATTAATTGAAATGGTGAGGACTACAGGAGAAGATACGTTCAATCTGGGAACATCAAGTTTGAGAACTAGACATCCAAGTGGGGGTGTTAACTAGGCAGCTGAATATTCATTTCTGGGGCTTGGGTGTGAGGCTGAGGCAGGAGATACAAATGTGGGAGTCACTGGCACAGAGATGCCATTAAAATCATGAGACTGGGCAACATGGCCAGAGAGCGAGTGGAGGTAAATAGGATCAAGAGGCCAGAAAGAAGAAAAAGACCCAACCAAAGAGTCTGAGAAAGAGGTAGGGGGAACCTAAGGTAGTGTGACATTCTGGAAGGTGATGTGTTTAAGCAGGAGAGGTCAGGAAAGGTGAGGACTAACGATTGGCCATTGGACTTACACTGTGGGGGTCACTGATGACCTCAATACGAGTAGCTTCAGTGGAGTATTGTGGGCAAAAGCCTAATTTGTGAATGTTCAAGAGAAAATCAGAGGAGAGGAATAGATGTAGGAAGTATTAATACTTTTGAGTAATGTCGCTGAAAGGAGAAGCAGCAAAATTGCAAATGTTAAATATACATAGATATATTTTAATATATAATTGGTGAATATTAGATATATGTCTATCATGACTATATAAAAATGTACCGATAGTAACATTTACATATACATATATTTTTACATATGTATATATTCGAGTATGCACATATGAAAATATATATAATCAGACAAGCTAAACACTACTACTCAATTTATCCCTGGGTGTGGTAGAAATGATGGTAAAACAGGCTTGTGTTTTGGTTTTGCTTTATTTTGTTTTTTGGTCATTGTAGTATTAATTAATTGAAGCTTGGATTTGCTTTATTTCCAGGTTTAAGAAGTTCGATGACAAATACCTGCGGAAGCTTTTGATTCGAGAAAACCAACCCAAATCAAGCATTGTGTCTTTATATAAAAAGCTTGAAATAAAACATGCCATTGAGATGGCGGAGACGGGGATGATAAGTGCTGTTCCTTCTTTTGCATCTCTGAAGTAAGTACTGTTTTGAAAATTAAAGTTAGTATTACTAAGTATGTCTTAATAGTTTTTTGAAACCAGTGATGGTAACAAATTTCACTCATGTCCTAGACCTCATGGAAGAATGAGATTCTGGTTAAAATGTGAAGCCTCGAAATGTATACCTTATGTTATGTCACATCAGATCACATCATGTTATGTTATTTTAGAATTGACTAGTCAGAAAATACTTTGTCATATTTAGGATAATTATGCCTGTATTATATTTTTTTGAGGTCATTCATTGCTTTGTAAAAGTACCAGGTACCAGTACCTCTTTAGCAAGTATTTTGAAATGGAATATCTTAAGGTGTGTTATTGTAAATATGCATGTAATTTATAGTTATTTCCTCATGAATTATTCATGCAATCATATTTTAAGGCTTGCAAAGAACATCAGGGATCATCTGGTATAGTGGTAATCGACTCCGGTTGTATATTACAAATACCTTAGGAGTATTAAATAATATGATGACCAGGCCCATGATAAGGCCTAGGTGTAGGTATATTTTATTTATCAGTTTTTCAGATATTTTCAATATGCAGTCAGGATTGAGAGCCACTGATCTGTGTCTCCCTAATTTTAAAAATGAGGAAATGAAGATTCAGAATGGTAAAGTGACTTACCCAGAATCTTATTGCAAATCCTCAGTAAATGCTCAGTTAACAGTAGGTCATTTTATCATGTAAGCATCAATCCTTCCCTACCACAAAAAATGATAGAAATTATGGGTTCTGCTGACTTCTTTCACTGATGAGCTTGAAATACATTTAAAATACATGTCACTTAATTAAAATACTGTCTATGGGAGAGCTGAAATGAGACAGGAAATGCCAAATCACACTCAACCATATAAACTAGGAGGATTTTTACTAAGACTGTAAATCCTCTATTAAAATTATGGAAGTTTACACAATCCAGAATAAAAAGAAACAGTGATCAGGATGGCTTGGAGGTAAAAGTATTATACTGCACTTAAAAACAGTAGTGGATTGAACAGAGTGACTGGTTTATAGTCCTACCCTGCAGTAATTCACTGTGTGACCTTAGACTGGTTCATCTATTGCCCTGAGATTGAGTTTCTTCAAGTAGAAAATGGGACAAGACTTGATCTTTGTTGCCATCTAGCTTTACAAGTTAATGATCTTTCTTATGCACTATTCCATTTGCAATTGTAGCAAGGGATAATTCAATTATTCAGCTTCACAAAGGAGAGCCATTGTCTTTGTGATCACAGAAGAAAAAATCTTAGTTTTCCGCTCTGTTTATAGTTCTTTTGGAAGCTGGCAGTAAGCAGAACAAAGGCAAAGGTTTAAGGTTATGGAAGTAGGTAGCACAATTAATGGTCAGCTGCATAGTTAGATAAATGAATACCAACCATACTGACCATTCCACATCTCTTGAAATGTTTTCTTTAGGGGAAATTAGAAGTGAAAAGGGAGGAAATAAGGTATTATATTTCTGACAGTGATGGATTAAGTGTTCTAGACCAAACTATCCTATGAAAACCGCTAGAAAAAAAAAAGACAAATATGTTTTAAAAATCTGCTTAAAAGCTGGAAAGTACCAGTACAGTAAGGAATTTCTTGACCAAGAGTCAACAGAGAAGGAAAGTCCAAGAAGATGGAACCGGCATTTGGTGCCCTTTCTTCCCTGGATCACAGAATAGTCTAAAAGGCTAAAACAGAAGTTTTGATAGACTGATTGGTCTTTGAGAATACATACAGTTGGAAATCAGGACCTACCAGGGAGGAGGAGCTCTTGTACTCAGCTATAGGTTATTACTTCAGAATTCTACAACTTAACCCTCAAAGAAAAGAAGTCTAGCCTAGAATTATCTCAATTCATGATTGTTTAAATCTGAGATTGATATTACTTTTATCCCAGCTGATTGAGAGAAATAAACTTAACTTTTCTTTGGAGGAAAATAAGATGATAGTCTTAAACTACCTCCATGATTTTTCATGCATAATGTCTAGCAACCAATCAAAAGCATGTGAGTAAATAAGGAAATGTTATTGAAAACTTAGAGAAAAAAAAAAGATAAAAACAGAGTAGTAACAGACACAAGTGGATGGCAGATAATTGAATATAAGGGTGGCTTAAGAGTCAAAAATCAATCCGTTATTTGCCATATTTTCAGTTCTTCTCAAATTGATCTATAGATTCAAAGCAATTCCATTAAAAATCCCAGTGTGTTTGTGTGTGTGTATCATTAGACAGTCTGGTCCTAAAGTTTCTATGGAAACGTAAAGGGCCCAAATTAACCAAGACAAGATTGTCTTCAAAACTGAAGAACAAATTTAAAGGATTTACACTATTAGGTAGCAAGACTTTCTGTAAAGCTCCCATGACTGAGACAGTGTCTTTTGCAAAGACAAAAGGATAAATAGACCAGCAGAACGAAGTAAGAGTTTGGAGTAGACCTACACTTACTGGATATGGATACTTAACTAATGGCAAAGTTTACAGTAGTACAAAGCAGTAGGGAAAAGATGGCCTGAAAAAATAAAAAACAAAAACCGGTCCTGGGTCAATTAGGGATCCATATGGAGATAAAGTGAAATTGACCACTGGGTCATATTGTATCAAGCCAAGGAGTATCATAGGTATGCATGTGAGCAGTGAAACAGTACAGCTTTTGAAAATCGTATGAGAGAATATCCTCTTACTGTTTTGATAGGAAAAGATTTCATTGAAGGAATGAAAGGCAAGCCATAAAATGGGAGAAGATACTTGCCTCACATAAAACTGACAAAGGTCTAAAAAAAAAAAAAAAAGATAGTCCTATGGAAATATGGACAAGGGACTTGTTCAGGCAGTTTACAAAAGAAGGTATCCAAATGGTCAATAATCATATGTGTTCCGAAATACGTATATGAGAATACTTACAAAAACATTGTCATATCCAAAAGTTAGAAATAACACAAACACCCATCAACAGTAAAATGGATAAATCATTACATATTCATGTGATGGAATATTATACAATGAGTAAAATGAACAAACCAAGTTACATGTCATAACACAGATGCATCTAAATGCAATGCCTAAGCAAAAGAAGCTAAATTTAAAAGACTATTATTAAAAAATACATCCATACATCCATCCATACATATACTTATTGCATTTAAAAGACTCCATTTATAGAGAATTCAGACTTGGGTACAACTGTTCCGTCAACTCAGAAATTAGGATAGTGGTTGTTTTTGTCAAAGAGGGAGGAAGTAGTGATTATTGGGGGGTGGAATATGACGTGGTTTCTGGGGTTCTAGTTCATGTTGTTTTTACTTGAATAGTGGTTGCACAAGTACATTCATTTTGTGATAGTTCATTGAGCCATACGTGGCAGATTCACATATTTTTCTATTTTTGTATTATATTCCAATAGAATAAATTTAAATGTATGCTTCATTGTGCACTTAACACTAGAGTTACACAAACATTTGTTGGATACAACTTGGTGGGAACATTGTTATAAGAATGCAAGATCCATCGCTCCAAAATTGTTACCTCTTGACCTTTTAAGTCCTTCTAAAAATTCTGTGAATTAACTTTGCTGATCAAAAACCTGATTAGAAACCTAGACAGCAATTTGAGTAACAATGCCTTAGTCTAAGAAGATGCTTCTTAAAAACTCACCCAAGCAATTGAGGTTGAGGTGAAAATGAATCATATATACCTACAGAAGTCTGCCCTGATGAAGCCTTAGATTTCTATGTTAATTCCTTTGTGTTTCTCCATTACCTTATGGGCATAGGTAATTAATATCATGTTTATTTTTTGTAAACAAGTTTGCATTTTTAAAAAAATAAGAGAACTGTGCTCTTCAATTGGTATGTTCCTAGCCCATCTTCTGTTTAGATCTGCATTAATAGGGATACCTGGGTGGCTCAGTGGTTGAGCATCTGCCTTTGGTTCAGGTCATGAGCTCAGGGTCCTAGGGTCGAGTCCTGTAGTGGGCTCCCCGCAGGGAGCCTGTTTCTCCCTCTGCCGATGTCTCTGCTTCTTTCTGGTGTCTCTCATGAATAAATAAAATCTTTTTTAAAATCTGCGTTAATATATATAAACTTCTCAGCTTTATCTTCTTAATTTATCTTCTTATGTATTTTATTGTACTATATATTTTTGTAGGCCCCCTCAAAGCCTTTTTGAAGAAGTTAGGCTAAAACTGTACAAATACAGTTGGTTCTCATTGTTGCAGTAGTTATGTTCTATAAAATTGCCCTGAATGCTGATTTGTGAATACTGAACCCTTGCTTCTAAGGGAAATACAGGGTTAGGTTCTTGGTGAGCCTCTGGTCACAACATTTTCATCAACCAATTGATACATAACCTTATTTTATGTGTGCTTCTATTTAAAGACACCTTATTTAAAAAAAAATAAAGACACCTTATTTAGTATTTATTGTTTCATTAACGTTCCACTCATGGCCAACAGCACCATAACTCATGCTAGAACAAAGCTCATTTGACATGACTTTTCTCTGGAAGGCACATCACAGCTTTCTTTTGCTTAGGAACATTCAACAGCACTTCAGACCTATGCTTGGGAGCTATTTTAAATAGTGAAGTCACCAACAGCACGGAAATATGAAAAATGTGTCATTAAATGGACTGTGAAAAGGATATTTGCTTACAGTAGAGGAAGGAGCTAAAACAGGAAGGCAGAGCATCATCATATTTAGCCTCATCTAGGAACCTGTGCACTGGGGAACTCAAATTTTCCCCCACTTAGCGCATGTTTATGAAAAAGTATCATGCATACTGACACCATGTTTAGGTGACTTTGCAAATATGAAATCCTTGAATAATGATGATTGATTGTATATACGTACATATTATAAATGGTGTCTTTGCAAATATTTCTAATGAAGTGTTTAAAAGACTAGGCCTTGTTAGCAAAATGTAGGTAATTGAGTTTCTGTTAGAACAAACCCAATTGTATATTACCTTATTAGAGAGTATTAAAAATAATAAAGTGACAGCATTATAAGCTACTACAGTTTTTCTTCCTTAAAAAATATTTGCGTGGAAAAAAAGAAGTAATTGCGTGAACAGACTCTGAAAACTTGTGCATGATTAAACTCGTTTTGAATAATTTTGACACTGAAAAGTTTTAGAATTTGGAGTTATTTTACTTTTTAGACTTTTTAAAAAGAGTTTTTATTTATTCATGAGAGACACAGAGATAGAGGCAGGGACAAAGGTAGAGGGAGAAGCAGGCTCCCTGTAGGGAGCCCGATGTGGGAGTCGATCCCAGGCCCCCGGGATCACAACCTGAGCGGAAAGCAGACACTCAACCACTGAGCCACCCAGGTGTCCCTGGAGTTATTTAAAAATATTGAATACTCCCTAAGTGTTATTCTTTAAGTTAAGATTCTTCTTAAATGATATTGTATCTCCAAAAAGGAAAAAATATGATTCCAATATCTGTTGAATAGTAAAATATATTCTTTTTCTAACCTTTCACAGTGATTGCCGGGAAGAAAAAATAAGGAAGCTCACACCTGGTGAAATGGATGAAATTCGAGAAATATTATCCAGAAATCTCTATCAAATCCGTCAGCGAGTGAGAATAATTTATTTAGCAAAATGTTTCCTTGCCTTTGGCTAAAAATATGCCTTCTCATTTCATGCTACTCCGTTGTAGCAGAGATTGCCCAACCATTTACGCCAGCCTTTTGCATGTTGCACATCAGGCATCTTCTCTTCTCTGAGAGTCCTATCTTATTAGGGTACACTCCCTCTCAGACACCATGGGGAAAGTGTGGGAGTCCCCAGGAGTTCTGCTACTGTGGATTTGGAGATAAAAGCATCTGAGTTAGTTGTGGCTCTCATTTAATTTTTTTTTTTTATAAATGAAATCTTTTTAGAGCTTAAAGAAAAGAGCTTTAAGAAAACTTATTAAAATGTATTTAATTTTCATTACTCATAAAGTACTATAGTTTCTTCCTTTAATGTATCTCCTAAGTGCTGTTCCATTGTTAATACCTCGTTCTAACAATTGGCTAACAACATAGCTAACATTTCCAGGATGCATACAATTGGCCATGCCCCATTTCAGCATATATTAACTCAGTCTTCCAAGTGGTGTTACTACTGTTTCCACTTTATAGATGAATCAATTAAGGTACTGGGAGGGGAGGTGACACACAGATCACTCATGTTGGGGTCATTTCTGTACCTTCTTAGCTGGTCTCCCCAGATGCGACCCCCAGTCCCTCCTGAGTTATGGTTGCTCCACCGCCTTCTTCACAGCACCTTTAATGGCAGCATTCCCTTATTTAAAAAGAAACAAGCAACAGTTGTGGCTTATAGGCTAAACTCTTCTTTCAGAATTCGGGATCTCTAATTCTCAGTTCTGCTGTGTCTGACCTTACATCTCCCTTCCCTCCCCAAATGCCCAGGTTCTGCCTTCCTTGGCCTGGGTTCCTCTCTTTTCTGTCTCTACGTGGAACGTCCCCACTGGTTCCTGTTAGCTGTTCCACATCCTCCAATTTTTAAGGTTTCCTTAACAACTTCCATATTATCCCCAGCCCTGTCTTTAAATGGGATAGCACTCGGAGTTCACACCATACCACACAGTTTTAGCACTTCATGATTTGTATGATTTCGTTAGCCTTTGAGGTCCATCTAGCTAGCAGATTTCTCGAGGCAGGCTTGAGCCCTCTTCTCTAACATTCTCTCATATTTCTTTGAGACTTAATATAGTTCAGGACACAGGAATATTCCCAAGAAATATATATTTATTCTATCAGAAAATGAACTTAATTACTAATTGCAATTCATTTTAAAAAACTTATAAAACTAAAAATGTATGTCACTCAGAGGCCTGGTTTAGAAATTTTACTGTCTCAAATACTAGCACATGGTTAATGCGGATTCTAGCAACGGCTTTTTCAATTTGACAACCCAGTTGAAAAGAAGTGTTCTTAATCGAAAGGACATGGCACCACCAAGTGGCTCAAAGTGGTTTGTTTTTGTACCGGTAATTCCTATTCAGTAAATTGTGTAAAGATGAATTGTATTTCTTCCCCAGCTGCTAATGATGGCTAAATACATACAGAGTACTTCAAGGTAGATAAAGTATGAATGATGATGAATTCCATCATATTCTGATTTATGAAGATCGCACTTCTCAGTGAAAGATAACTGGCAAACTTCTATTAGAAGACAAATGCTTTCAAATTTCGAACAAATGTTAACCTTTTTTTTTTCCATCTCCCATACACATTAATTTTTATACTTTTTTAAAATTTATTTTTCTGCTCTGCATGTTGGTTGTTAAGTGCCTCGCTGAGGTACAGAGAGCCAAAGCAGCACAGTAAAGTTTGGGAATCTCTGGGGTAGCAATCAGTTTTTCTTGTAAGATGTCTCTTGTGTTTTCATTTCAGACTTTGTCCTACAACAGACACAATCTGACGACCGACACAAGTGAGCGACAAGCTAAAGAGATTCTGATCCGACGAAGGCACAGTTTGCGAGAAAGCATCAGGAAAGACAGCAGCTTGAACCACGAGCGCAGGGTAACTGGCGTTTGTTAACCATTTGTCTGCGGTGAGGAAGGCTTCCAGGAATAGAGTCAGCAGCCATTCCAGAGGCTCTTGTGACCGGATGGCCACTGAGGGTTGATTCATAGGAATTCTGGGATGGAATTAATTGTAAAGTCTTTCCGAATGTTTCTACAACACCTATTGTGTCCGGGCACTGTTCTGGCACTTGGTATATGTTGGTGAATGAAAGTGACCAAGATATCTTTGCTTGTAGAATTCAAATCCTAGTGGGGAGAAGATGCCCAGCAATTGAGTAAATTATCTATTATGTTAGTAGGCAGGGAGTGCTGTGGAGAAAAACGGTGCTTGGAGAAGGAGACTGGGGGTACAAGGAAGGGTCAAGTTACAAATTTAAACAGCATGGCTGGACCATGCTTCATTTGATGAGTCACGTTGGATCTCTCTGGGGAGAGGTTGTGGCCAGAAGATAGGCAAGCTGCAGGTACTAGAACTGCAAAATCACAGCAGTTGGGGGGTGTGAATGTTCACCTTCTCACTTGGTCCAAGGCATTGTCAAGAAGATAAGGAAAATCATTTTTAAATGACATTACAATTGATTGACTTCACAGCAGTTATTGCATCTTAGTATTATTTTTGTGAGTATAACAGACATACAAGGTTGCATTAGTTTTAGGATTGCTTCTCATTTTTAGTAATATTCTGTGTTGGTCATCAGAGACTAAAATGGTAATATGTAAACAGGTAGATTATCTTTTTTTTTAAATGTGAAAATGTGGCAGCCCTGATTAAAAGTTAAAGTATGACACAATTGAATTGTCAGCCAATTAGCTATGGTAATGCTTTTCATTCTATCACTTCAAGACTTACTAAAGTAACTAAAAGTTAAATATGCTACATCTTTCATATATTTTCTTTCCATATGTATAGGTTCTACTTTTTTAGTAATACTCTTATTAATAGGTGTTTCCATAGCTTCTCTTTAAAAGACGCAATGGTTTTCATTATTATTTCATTATTCTTATTTCTAACGGTCCCACTTTATTTTCATTTTCCTTAATACTGATTTTGGTTACATTTTAGAAGAGATTTAGTTGTTTTAAGTGAAATAATTATTGCTCAGAACTTTATTCACCATCCCCACAGCCCCTCACACAGTAATTTTATAATAGAGAAGTACAATTTTAATTTTTAACATCAGGGTTTGATGTAAAATTTTAAATTTCTGATATACAGTAACTGACCTCTGCATAGTCTAAATAAGATTTTCCATGTTTTCCACAGGCTTCCACTTCAGCCTCTCGATATTTATCCTTACCAAAAAATACAAAGCTTCCAGAAAAGCTACAAAAGAAAAAGAATATTTCCAATACAGGTAATGATTTCAGTTGGAGCAGAATGAGTAAGTTTATTTCCTAATATTCATAAAGTAGAGAAATTTCCCCATTCTTTTTCTTCATTGAGGACAATGAGTTTAATAGTTTGCAAGCCTAAAATAATAATAATAATAATATGGTGACTTATTATTAGCATTATAAGCTTTTTGGATGGAGCTGCTGTACACATTATGAATGAGTTCATTATTTTCCATAATGATTCTATTTTATATATAGCAAAAGCAAATGCTGTCACCTGTGGTTAGTGAGCAGGTAAACAGCAAGTTGTAAATTTGCAAAGGTGTATTTAAATTTTTGCAATTTCCATATATTTTCATAAAGGCAGCCATAAATTTTACTGCCTGAAATCATTAAGGCTTTGACATAAAGTCTCATATCTCTTTATTTAATGATAATCTTTGTGTAGACTCCAAGCCATCTACTGTGAACCCCAGAGGAAGTATGTTAGGTACCATGTTATTAAAATGTGGGATGTAACAATTACCTCCCCTACCCCTTTATTTTTGCTTGTTTATTTAATTAATTAACCAAGAAGAGGAAAGTCAAATGACAGCTGGTGGTGATGACTGGTAAGATGAGAAATGAGAAGGGAGGCCTGAATGTTTAGAGCAGTGGGCCTTGTCACCACCACGTGTCCACCAGAACATTCTTTTTGCCCCAAGAATCTCAGCTCCCACCAGCTGTCCTACCCAGTTCTCTAGGACTTGAATTCTGACAACCAGCTAGTTCTGATCATGTATCTCCGCATTGTTTGGAGAGTGCATATTGTTACTACAGCCCTTTTATGAAAATATAAAGGAGATAAAGAAGGTTGTCTCTCAGATTCCAGATCAAGACAAGCATTTGCATAATAGCAGCCAAGTGCTGGTTTGCTTTCTGTGTGCCAGACACAGAGCTGAGCCCTCCTGGGATTGTTCTGATGGGGCAAGTGGGAACACAGCTGCCACCGCCAGAGCACCTCACTTTGATAGCCAGCTCCACCACTTATACTGTCTCTTGAACTTCAGTTACTCCACCTGTCAGATGGGTGACTATGAGGATTAAATAGGTTAATGAGTTTAACAGTGCTTAGGACAGTTGTCTGGCACAGTGAACTCTTCAGTGTGTGAACATTCAACATTAAGGCCCACAGAGATGATGTCTTATGCCCAGGTTGGTGGGCTAGAGAGAGTGAGCCCTCTGACCCTCCGCTGCCCAATTTTCAGCAGGTGTTGGCCCCAATCATGCATTGTGAGTCATTTACAATCCCTTCTCTCTCAAACGCATGCCCATATTATCCTTTTGCTCTGTGGTAGGTGGCAATAGCAGTGACTCAGACACAGATGTCGGGACCACCGTCCTCAATTTGCAGCCCCGAGCAAGGCGCTTCTTGCCAGAACAGTTCTCAAAGAAAGCCCCGCAGTCCTATAAAATGGAATGGAAGAATGAGGTAGACGTTGATTCGGGACAGGGGCAGCCTTGTACCCCCGCAGCTCCCCACAGCAAAGAGGGGGGCACCCAGACCCCAGGCATGCTCCGGCAGCCCCTTCTCTCCAAAGGCCAGTTTGGCCCAGTGCAGGAAGACAGTGTGACTGAAGGTATCCAACCCAAGCCGCCACCCAGGCTGGTCCGGAGGGCATCGGAGCCTGGCAACCGGAAAGCGCAATTTGGAAGTGAGAAGCCTTAATGGAAATGGCCAAAGCAGACCTGGGGTGACTGACCCAGCACCCCTGGCGTTGGTTACTCTGAAACCTGACACAACATTGGGATCCATTTCATACCCTCTATGCATCTAAATCCTTTCTTTGGGTAGAAGAGTCATACCATTGATTTATGGGATGGATGCTTAACCCAAGAAGAGGAAAAATCAAAGAAAAAAAAAGCCCTATAAAATGCCTTTTATGACTTTTTGCTAGCAGTTGTATTCTTCACAAGCCTAAAGAAAGAAAATTGTGTGCCTTTATTGAACTTGAATGACAGAACTTGAAGTTTTTAACACACCTGTGCTGGTGAAAATTTTAATATATACATATATGCCTCACATTTTATTTATGAAAACCTATGGATATCTGTAATCAGTTTTTAAGCGAAGGGCGCTAAAAATACTCAACATCTCTCCAAGGTGTAAAGGGTAGTTCCCGCAGGATGGTGGGCCATCTGCTCAGAGTCAAGGTGTTTCCCCATCTTGAGCTGCTGACCACTTGGTAAAGGACGAGCGCAGCATGGAGCAGGGATTCTTGGTGAACTCAGGCTGGGGAGGGAGTCAGAACATCTAGGCAGATGAGGAGGCCTGGCTCCCATAGCGCAGATTCCCATAAATAATGAGTCTACTGGATTTAATTTATTTGTTACTGTACGTTTGAGGGTAACATATAGATTCCATCTCTTGTTTGTGTTTGAATGGTGCAAAGAGAAAGACTGTGTGGGTGACACGATGTGTGACAGACTTGGTGGCAGCTTTGGACGAAGTTCCAGCACGTGGGCCTCATGGTATATGCGGGGAGACACCTGCTTACATTTTTTTTGGCAGGTTTTATATTGTGCAATACTGGGAAGAGGATGCAGGAGATTCCCTTTCATGCCCATCTATGACTATCGGCTTTAGAATTTTTCTTAGAACATTCTAGAACTTTGAATACAGGTCAGAAGCTCCAAGCAGACCATTTAGATAAACATAGTCCAATGTTTAATAAACTGGTGAGAGTTCAGGTTTTGAAATTTATTCAGGAAGTACTTTGGAGAATGTAGGAGTTCTTTTTTTTTATTTTTTGCACTAGTCTGTAATTTGTTACTTCTCGCCCCTCAATAAAGTAGTGACAAATTCTTCATATAAAAATGGATTCTACTCATCTGAGTACTTTTTAAAAGAACAACAGAAAGACAAGAAGTGGAATATAATCATTAAAGAGTAATATTTTTGAATTTTTGAGTAAATATTTTGAATTTTTGTCTCAAGCTGTAGATTTTATTGTTTTTTTTTTTTTTTTTCCCCTGAAAAACTCCTTAAAACTGGACTGGAATGAGACTCTAAATGTCTGGGTTTAAATATAAATGAGGCCACACGATAGTCTACTGAGAGCACATTAGAGGTGCAGCAAAGGATACAAACGACCATTGGATTGTTAGTGGGAAAACATGAATAAATTAAACAGGAAGATTCAGGACTCAGAAATCCCCAGCAGTGCTTCTCTTATCTCCCTCCTCTACCCCCACCAATGTGGAGAAATAAATCTTTTACCCTTTCTCTTATCTTCTACAGTCTTGGAATAGTGCTAAGATTGTTGGGTGTGAGGCAGAGGAAAAGATAAACATACAAGGTACAATTTCCTTCCCAAACTCTTCCACGTTGATAAGTGGAAAGCAGTATAGACACCTTTGAAAACTGTAAACTTAGGATTCTGTGCCAAATATCTTAATTTTAACTGAAAATATTTATATTAAAAATATATATATTTCATCTGCTGAAAAGAAATTAAAATGACTTTTAACTTAGAATTTTATTATAGGAATGTGATTCATCAAGAGATGGGATGTATATTTTTGAGAATGCCAAGAGTAAATTTTTAGAACTTAATGAAATCTGAAAAGAAAGGTTAAAGTAAAATGACCTTAAAAATAAAGTTCCTGATTTTTTTCTGGTGTCCTAGAATACTGAATATTATAATAAGTCTAATTTTCTGGAACCGAAGAAGAAAATATGAAAATCTTTTTACATTTCTTGTTAAACAGGTATACCAAATTTAGCTTACACTGATTAAAAGTCAATAAAGAATCTGGTGGACATGGTGTAAATTTAAAAAAGCACTTATGTCATTATCAGTTTAACGTTTTTTGTATTTTTGAATGACAAAAGCAATGAAAAATAAATGTGACTTCATTTTGTTTTTTCTCCATACTTTTTTTCACATAAAATTATTAAGTTCTAGACACTACAGGAGAGCATATGAAACCCCTTAAATATTGAAACAGTCTCAATATTCTGTGGTAGAGACCCACCCCTGACCCTTTGTAAATGACTCGCTAATGCAAGCAATACTTGATCCAACCAAAGTTCCAGTGTGACTATAGAATTTTGATGGGTCTTTGGTATTTAACAATTTTGACTTGAACTACCTGCAAGTGCAAAGTGTAGGCTTATTTCTTTACCTGTAATGCTAAGGGCTGATTGTTGGGAACAGTTAGGCCAGTTAGCAAACAACTAGAAATTGACTCCAAAGCTCGATACTTTTAAAAAAATGTGCGTTTTGTGGATAAGACCCCAGAATATCTGGGACAAAATTCCCTTGGCTTTTACTAATTTTCGTGGTGGGTAAGGGGAATGTTTATTTATGTAAAAAACATAGAGAAGTTATTTATTACATGTCTCAGTATGTTTTTCCATTTGTTGCACTACCCAAGTCATGTTTATGTTAAAACTGGCATTTTATAAACAAGTGTGAGAATTGTAATATTTTGTTAGTTCAAAGTTCACACTTGACTTTCTTCTCTGAAGAGTGATTAAAAAGATTTCTTTGTCTGGTTGAAGTAGCTATTGGCATTATCTGCCCAAGCCTGAACATTGTATGTTGATTCCCTTTGTCAAGATGAACGAGAAAGGCTTATGACTCAACTGTCTGATGATCTGAGATTTTGCGTGTGTGTGTATGTGTGTGCTTAACTTTTAGAGCAAAATGTGTAGCTTGCTGTTACTTTATATCTGACATTTTAACCAGGCCCTTTCTTCAGTCTACTTGTAAGGCAGTGAGAGCCCACTTGGGTAACTGATGCCTGGCTGTGACCACAGCTCTTTGTTCACGAGAAATGACACCTCCCTTCAGAATTTTTTTCCAATGTCATTCACTCCACGTGGCTTGACATCCTTAAACGTGGTCACCCACCGCAGATGTGCAGACAAAGCACCCACATGATTAGTTTTGAACGTCTCTACTGTTGTAATGGTACATAGTTTTTTGATCCCTTTTGTCTTCTAACTTTCTACAATTTTTTTCAAAGAAAATTCTATTTTACTACCTCTAAAAATAGTCGATAATGGTGGTCAGTTCTCTTACCTGTCCGGTCAGAGAAAGAAGTGTTTCTATGTGTAGAGTTAATGTATCTACTGTAAATGGATTATCAAATTTTCAATCTGCAGAGCATATTGATGATTTTGAACGGCTCAGAACCTACTTCAGGGCTTTTATGTCACAGATGTTTCATGGGGATCTGTTATCCTTGTATTGTACGATATGGAAATGTCCCTCCATGAGATGGCCAGTAGACAGGATGCCAGACACATCGGCGGTGACTTTTCTGATTTTCACTACTGTAACAAAACACCCTGAATTAAATATGCAAATGTTTTTCTCCCTTTTCTTTTTTTATTTCACTGGGTCCTGTTATGTCATCAGTACATGTGGTAACAAAATTTGTAATTTAAATGAGGCTCTCTGCGTCCAGAGTTTGGATTGCCAAACAGAAATTTTATATATGTATACCAACAAAGAATTTTTCTTGGTTTCTGTGAAATGTACAAAAGTCTAAGTGTTAAATCAGTATGGAGTGGAAACATTTAATGGAATAAACATAAATGAAAATATTTAATCACTATGGATAATACATCACAAGAAACCAGGACAGCCCCCAATTCCAATTTTTACATTTATATATCAAAACCATTCTCATTTGTGCTAAAATTGGGGTCATATAGCTGGAATTAGTGAAAGGTAAGAATTTAAAAGTATTAAAAATTTCAGTTGCCTTAGCTTCAAATACACATAATATTTCAGACAGGGCTAACACTGTTACTGTGTTAAAGAAACTTAATGAAGATTATAACTGGTCCATTAATATTCTACATGTAAACAGACTATTGTAAATGGTTCAAAGATAATGCATGCTCTGGAATATTAAGTGCTGCCTTCCCAAGCCAACTCAAGCAAGACAAATTAGATTATTTTCATCCACTGTCTTTACCAAATGGCTTTTAAACATTATGCAGGGTTCTGTACCAACACATCAAATTTTTAGGTTTTCACTAACACACAGTTTTTGGCACCTGCTCAAAACTGTTTACTGTATTTGCTACTATAAGTATCTGACTGTTGGACAGCCAGTTTAAGTTCTTATCTTTAGCTGGAAGGTTATTCTGAATGTGCTACAACTTGGCATACTTGATTGTTTTGTTAATTCCAAAAAGATGGCACAGTGAAGGTGCTTTGAAGGTGGCCAGGAGAAAATGCTCACTCTTAACCCTGTCATGACCGCCTGACACTGTCAGAAATTGGCTTTGTGATGCCCAGGCCTGTGTTTCAGCCTGCAGCACAGACCAAAGCAAGCCCAGGACATGTACCCATTCACATGCCCTCAGACCCACAGGGGACAGACTCCATAGTCAGCAGCAAATGCATTTATTATATCAGTTCATTCTGGATAGTTCATGTGGTTTTAGTTCCATTAGGAAAAGTCAGGATAGGTTTAGGTGGGTCTAAGGTATCACACAATAAAATAATTCTCAGAAAAAAAAATAATAATTCTCAGTCTGGGGAAGCACCTGAGTTCCAACGATTCAAAATGGAAGAGATTCTTTGATAAGCCCAAAGAAAGGTCATTTCCTATTCAGTGTTGTAAACTGCAACTATTAATAGGTATTTTAACTACTTTTTTCCCCCATAGTATATGCTTTTGAAAAAGGATTTTTATTTATCAGGATGTAGTATAGTTTAAATCAAGACTGATCAAAATACAATTTTTTATTCTAACAAGATCCCTATAGTCCACTTTTATGCTATAATTTATGCTATATAATTACTGATAATAATTAATACCTCCTTCCTTAATGTTTATAATTATCTTTTCCCCTTGAGGAACAGCACAAGCTGTTTAAGAGTATCCAATTCCAAATTAAAATCAGCATTATTTCTTACAATGTACTGAATCAGGAAAACAAAAATTGTCTATATTGTCTTCATGCACACCTGTCTGTAAAGTGGTGCGTCTAGGCGATCTGGGAAAAATGAGAAATCTAAAGTAAAATAATGTTTTAAAATAAGTTGGTATTTGTGTACTTGATAAAAAATAAATCCTACTGATGAGATGTCATCTTAAAATGATTTGCTTGCCAAAGATGTGCAATAAGTTTCAGATTATGTATACATTTGGCTTTAGCATATGGTTTGAAAAGCCAAGAGCTTCTTGTTCTTACAAGAATGTGTTGTAAGTATAACTGAAGGTTAACATTTTCAAGTGCTTCTGGACTCTGACCTAACATATACATCAGGATATAGCAATAGCTCCCAAAAACTACAATCAGAATAAATGATAGCACTTCCTTATAACTTTAAAGGGATTGTATTGCTAAAGAAAATTATTACCATGTAACTAGCAAGTTCTTCAGGAAAAATAAAAATTTAGGACAGAAAAATGATTTTTTCAGTCCATTACCCTGTTCTGAGAAGAGCCACACTGTACATCATCCTGGCTAGAGCTGTGGTAACCTTATTTCAGAGACTCCTTAACGGCTAAGGTTTCCAGGGGGAAATAGGGCACCAGAATCACCATGCTGGCTTTTACTATACATTCCAAATAAAAAGTTATCCTCTCTAATCAGTTCCCAAATGCCTGAAATTTCCCCTAAGTGGATTGACTTCTCTCTCCCCACAGATGTCTAAATTTCTTAAAGAAGTGTCCTCAGGAAAAGGTGTCTTAATGATTTGAATATGCAGAGCACAAATTCCCATAAATGCCCACATTGTTCTCGGCCAGTTAACACAGGATAGGGCAGGATGTCTCAACACTCATCACCAGCTAACCTGATAGTGCCCAGGCCTTTCAGATTTTTGTGCCCTGATTCCCTTAGTGTGCATGACTTCTCCCTCACATTCCTTTTAGATTACTGCCCTCGAGGGATCCTTAACATAAAGTCCAACATTCTCCACCATGAATTCCTCTGTGGTTCCCCCTCACCCGTGAGAGTAAGAGCTCACTCCTGAGCATGGTACATGAGGCCCTTCATGATCTAACAACCCAGGGACTCTCAACGCTGGGGCACTTTGGAGTCTGGTTCTAGAGGTCTAGGGCAGGTGACTCTAATATGCAGCCAGAACCACTGATTTCAGCCCCTTCTGTTTATTGCAGGCATAACTCTTCACCCACCCGGCCGGGGCTTTGGCGTCTTGCACGTTACTGCCCTGGCTAGGCATTCTGATTTTTTTTTTTTTAAAGATTTTTTAATTTATTCATTCGTGAGACACACACACACACACACACACACACACAGAGAGAGAGAGAGAGAGAGAGAGGGAGGGAGAGAGAGAGAGGCAGCGACATACACAGAGGGAGAACCAGGCTCCATGCAGGGAGCCTGATGCAGGACTTGATTATGCCCTGAGCAGAAGGCAGATGCTCAAACGCTGAGCCACCCAGGTTTCCTGGCATTCTGACTTTTGCTCATCTGTCTGGACATGAGGGCAGAGGTATACCTTCCTTCTGTGGAGAAGGCCAAAGTCTTCTAGAACCCCAAACCCTGAGGCTGATTCACAGAACTTACCAATTGTGGCTAGCATAATGCTGAAAGAGTGCCATATCCTTCATAAACTTCTCAGTCAAGTTCAATGCCCCTAAAATAAGATTCCATATAATATTAAGTTGAACCAGGGACACCTTTTAAGAAAGGCAAAAAAAAAAAAAAATCCATTTCTCTTAACACTGAGGTAGTAACAAAGTCGGTTCTAAAACTTTACCTCTCAGGGCACCTGGTTGGCTCAGCAGTTGAGCATCTGCCCTCGGCTCAGGGCATAATCCCAGGTCTGGGGATCAAGCCCTACATCGGGCTCCCTGTGAGGAGCCCGATTCTCCCTCTGCCTATGTCTCTGCTTCTCTCTGTGTCTCTCATGAATAAATAAGTAAAATCTTTTAAAAAAATATATTAAGTTGAACCATGTGAAACTGCAGGTAATTTTGACTTAGAAAAATAGCAATTCCATGTGGCTCAACCTAAATACTTAGGAAATTATTACAGAAGCTTCCCAAGAACTCAAAAACAGAACACAAACTTTAGTTGAGCAGATTTAATTTCCCTGAGATAATATTCCATCAATTATACAAATACTGTCTATAGACCAGTGGTTTTCAAAGTTTACTGTGCATAAAAAGTATCTGGATATCTTGTGAGAATGGTTCTCAGCAGGTCTATGTGGGGTGTGAATGTCTGTATGTTTAACAAGCTCCAGGGAATGTGGACAATGTTGGTTCTGGAACTCACTTTTAAATATCCACACATCAGACTTTTTATTAAGGGGAACTACAGGCATACATCAGAGATATTGTGGGCTGGTTCTAGACCACCGCGATAAAGTAAATATTGCAATAATGTGAGTCAAATAAATTTTTTGGTTTTCCAGCATACATAAAAATTACGTTTATACTATACTGGAGTCTATTTACAGTAGCATTATGTCTAAAAAACAATGTACATACCTAATGAAAAAGACTTTATTGCTAAAAAATGCCAACCATCAACTGACCTTTCAGCAGGTGGCAATCTTTTTGCTGGTGGAGGGTCTTTTCTCAGTGTTGATCAGGGTGGTGTGTGTTCAAGGTTGGGGTGGCTGTGGCAATTTTAAAAAATCAGACGGCAATGAAGTTTTCTACGTCGACTGACACTTCCTTTCACTTGAACACTTAGGGGCCACTATAGGGTTGTTAGCATCTGAAGAAATGGGAAGACCAAGAAGAGGGCAAGAGACGGGTGACCAGCCAGTCGGAACACATACATTTAACGATTAAATTCACTATCTTATATGGGTACGGTTCACGATGCCCCAAAACAATTATAGTAATGTCAAAGATCACTGATCACATATAACAATACCAAATATAATGAAAAAGTTTGAAATATTGTGACAATTACCAAAATGTGACATAGAGACACAAAGTGAGCAAATGCTGGTGGAAAAAATGGTGCCGATAAATCCCTTGACACAGGGTTGCTATGAACCTTTGGCAAAAAACACAGTGATGCATAATAAGATGAAGTGCAATAAAACGAGGTATGCCTGTATAATATTTATTTTTTTAAAAAGCAATATGAGTGTGGAGAATAATAAAAATGTTTCTCTACTCTCTATACTAAAATCAACCCTGGTTTTCAGTATTTCCATGTGTCTGATTAACTGTAAAGCCCTAATAAATTTATAGGCTTTATTTACCTTCAAAAATAAAGTGCTATGATTTGAAAAATTTAATAATGACTATATTAAGGAATGTCTAAGAAACTTGTCTACTTCTGAGTGCAGAGAAAAGATATAATCTTCAGAGAGATTCTATTTCATTGAATAAACCCATGATTACTTCTTGTCCTATGAGTCTAACCTCTATGATGATTTAATGTGCTCCTTAAGGGTCATGCCATTTTACATTATATTTTGGTTTCCTCAAAAGGACTTGGTGCTCGCATAAAAGTTCACAATTATGGCACTTAATAAAAGGTTAATATTTTCCTTGTAGCTAGACAGGAGAAAGGACAATCTTCAAACATCCGATTAATTCTTTATCATAAATACTTGGGTTTATCCAACACACAACTTCTAAAACTAGAGAAAACATTTTTTTCCTGCTTTACATACATTTACAATTATACATGTGATAGGTTGAAAACAGGAATGATTTTCTAGAGGACCAATCAAAAAGAATGAAAGGAATGTGAACTCTGATAATCCACAGGAGGAAAAGCGAGGGGGCTTCAAAATAATTATCAATAGGTGACATCATCTAAATAGCAAGAGCCTTACAAATGCTTCCTTGTGAGTTTGTGCTAAACTTCACTCTGGGCCTCTCAGCTGGACCCTGGGATGCTACTTTTGGAATGACTGTTTAGGCCTAGAAAAAGGCAAATCGAAACATTTCCCTGTAGATCAGTGTAGCTCTTTCATTCTCAGGTGTGATATGAAAATGAGAGAAAGAAAATGACCTTCACCATAAGACACTGTAGATTAGTCCCTCTGATGAGACTTCACTGTCTTACACTGCATGAGATGTTCATCCTAAAGGCATTCCTGTGCTCTGTCTTTTCCACTGGGTTCTACCACCATCCAATCAATGCAGCCTAACAGAGCATGGGCTTCTGGAAGCAGTTCAGGCCTGATATCCAGGGAGAACTGGCCACACTGACAACCTCAGCTCCTCGAAGAGCATGGGGCCTCCAAAGCTGTGGACACAGGATAGAGGCCCCATGAACCTGTTTCTCCTATTATGCAGCGTGACTGCCACAAGCTGGGGAGAAGGTGTAACACACTGCAATCACATAATTTTAATAGTTCAAACTGAGTTAGCTATTCATAAACACAAACAAGTCTCTGGCTTTGACATTAATCAAAACCAGAGTCTCTGAATGATCCTTTTTCTGTCTCCGTGAAAAAGTGCAAGTGTTGCTTATTAAATACAGATTCCTCGGCCTCCCCTAGGCCCGCAGAATCAGTAACTGGGGGTGAGGCCAGCCATCTGATTTTCCCCCAGCTCACCAGGGGAATCCTTGTTATAACTTGAGAAAGTGACAAGCTCGTTTCAATATAGTGGCTTATTTAATCTCTAGGATTCTGATAGCAGAAAACCGCCCTCTTAGCTTATGCAACTTGACATGAAACCCGTGTCTCAGCAGATCATTTTATTAATGGGTTACCCTCCTTTTTACTTAGCAGGGAAGCCTATCATCGGTTATCCCAGCACATCTTCCTGTCCTGAAGCTGCTAGCATTTCCCCCTGGAAAACTTTAACCCCACTGGCCACGTTCAAAGAGGAGACTTCTAAGTAATGTTTAATACCTTCTCCTTTGACAAGGCTCTGACTTCTGATGTGCCCGCAGGCTGGACCTTGGTGTCTATGAACCGAGCACATCCGCTGGGAGACCATCCGTCCTGGCCTCTGTCCCTTCCTCACGTCCTCCGAGTTGGCTTCCTCCATCCGGTTCCATTCTACTCACTTTTTAATTTGTCCCTCCCGCCGCCACGGTGGCGGGCTCTGTTCAGAGACATCAGGAAAATGGCCACCAGGGCCAGGGCGGCCCCGAGGCTGGGGGGCCCGCACGGGCTCACCTCCTGCGCGAGCCCCGAGAGGAGCGGGGCGACGATCCGGCCCACGGCCGTCACCGACTGCCCCACGCCGATGACCGTGCCGCCCGCCCGCGCCCCGCCGGCGGCCAGCTGCAGGTCGGTGACGCAGGTCCTGCCCACGGCCGTGGAGACGGCCAGCAGCGAGGTGCAGAGCGCGGCCAGGGCGGCCGAGCGGGCGGCGGCGTGCAGCAGCAGCAGCAGGCAGGTGAGCGCGCTCGAGCGCAGCAGGACGGCGCGCCCGTCGTGCCCGTACAGCCGCAGGAGCGGGCCCAGCGCCAGGCCGCCCAGGGCGCCCAGGGCGCTGCTGTAGCTGATGAGGCAGCCCGCCGCCCGCGGCCGCACCCCGAAGCGCTCCTCCAGGGCCAGCACGAAGTTACTGTAGTAGAGCATCACCGCCACGGCCATCAGCAAGCGCACCGCGAAGATGTCCCACATTTCGGAAAATATCAGGCTCTTCATGTCGCGCAGGGTGGACGCGACCTCCGCCCAGGGCGGCCCGGCAGGCCTGGTGCTGGCGGTGCTCTGGCGCAGGGTGGCTGTCTGCTGCTCGGGAGGGTCCGTCCTCCCCCAGGGGACAGGGTTGTCACCGGCCGGCCGGCCTTGCTCCATCCTGGAGAGCTTTGCTTCATGCCAGGGAAACAGCCAAACCAGACCTGGAAGATGGCAGAGGACCGGTCAAGGCAGGCTGCGTCCCCTGAATCCCACAGTGCCCCCGCAGGGGATGAGCAGTTATTTGCATGCGATTACGATTCTGTATTTTTGTATTAGTCCGTTTACTAATCTGTTTTCGAATCCAGTGTTTAACTATTCCCACAGACACTTCTACTCCATTTTTGATAGAACTCTGCTATTCGCCTCAAAAAAAAAATCTACATCTACAAAATGTTTACTTTTTTTCTCTGCTCATGAGCCCATGATGGTTTCCTATATCATTTAATATTGAAATTCTCATGCTTTCTAATTCTCTGCGATCCACCATCTGCCTACCCATCCATTCACCACTTGTACTTCATTCCGAACACTGAATATTTATGCTTCCTAAATAGGACTATATTAACCAATAAGACAAGGCCTATAAAAATCTCTGCCCTCAAAGAATTTAACTCGAAAAAGGGATTTGGACAAGTAAAACACAGCAATTGGATTATAGGGTAAGTGCTATGTTAGGGGAAGCACAGGGTGCTGTGAACACCCACCCTTGCCTTGTGGAGAAGAGAGGGGCAGCTGCACACTACTGACCCTCAGGAAGCATCTGCTTGGAACTGCCCCTGGTCAGGGCCACCATGTACTTTTGCAAGTCACACCTCAAAATCTCCGGGGGTGCCATTCTCATGGACCATGATGCATGACCTTACAGAGCAGCTCAATTCCTATTCAGATAATCCCATCTCCACCCTTGGGACTGGCACATTCCTGCCTTGGTCGTTTTATTTATCCCATGCCATCCAAGTAGAATGACCTACTGCCAATCCATGCCCCCAAATTTCTTCAAACCAAATTCCAGCTTGCCATTCTAGGACATCTTTTCCAAACTCATCCTGCTGGATTTTTAGTCCTTCCACTCTTATATTCAACTTAGACCAGGGGCCATTCAGACTGCTTTATGCTGTTTTCAGCAACCATATCTGTATATGTTGTTTCTCCACAGTACAGGCAGATGATTCACCAGGGACTAATTTGTGACAGAAAACTAACCACACGAGAATGCAGGCCTCGACTTTCTACCTCTTATCATCTTTAAAAGTGCCTCTGGACGCTTTACAGAATCTCAATAAAAATGTAAAAGGACTCACTGGTGGACTGAGAGGAAGAGTATAATTAAAATAATAAAAATAATAGTGATGACAGCAACTGATGTTTAGTGAGAACTCAGCGTACTTAACGCAGTGGGGTGAACCCCTCACATGTAAGATCTCCAACTCCCATCCTAGTAAGCCTGGGAGTGTTGTTGCCCCGTTTTATGGATGAGTAGACTGAGGCAACTCACCCAAAGCCCACACTAAAGAGTGGCACAGCAGGATCTGAATCCATGTCTGCCAGACTCCAGAGTCTGAGTTTTTAACCAGGAAAACAGAAATCATGGACAAAAAAAGATATAAAAGTACTTTCCCAAGCAAAGTGGATGATCAGAGTGAGGATCTAAGAAGCTGAAGGTGGAAAAGGGGTTGGGGAAAACAGTCGAAGGCATTTAAAGGAAAAAATGCAATATACTGTGTTCATTGCACTGGAAGCCCAAACCCTGGCGTGAGACATGTCTGCTGGCCTGCCTCTGCTATTGCCTGCGTCAGCTTGGCCTGCTGACCTCCACATTTCTTAAGAATGCACAAGAAATCCCTATTACTATTTTTAGCTATTGTGGTTGAGAACACTTGCAGCTGAACTATCCCTGACTGACCCAGATCCATTCACAGGCTTAGGTTAGGGCATGATACTAAGCAGCATCATTGCTGGAGAATCCAGAACAGAACTCCATCATCATAGTCTTCGTTTATACACTGACTTCTGACTTTGAGAGCTATCACATTCATCACATTCCTTCACGGGGGAAGGTACCTGGCCATACCAGCTGGTCATGTGCTTCAAGTATTTTATCTAGATTTACACTAATCCATTAGACCTCACCTCCTGGCTGAGGTCACAGGTTAAACTTCTGGTAGGAAATCATAAAGTATTCCTATAAGGATTGACATTGAACTCCTGAACTCTGCTTCCTGAGTGTGATACCCTAGCTCAACATGGAATCCATCATTCACCCTGGAGACTTGAATACAAAGACTGAAAAAGACGAAGTAGAGTAGATTCTCATTAAATTTAAGGAAAACCGAGTAACATGAACCAGTCCTCTTGTTTATAAAGTTGCTTATCTAAGGGTCAGCCAGGTACCAGTCTCTGGGCAAATTCATCCTCTTTGCTTTAGGCAACTGGCCCTGCTCATAGTCCAGTATGTATCTTTCTATTCATCAGATATTACTTAACATCAGCTTTATGCCTGGCCAGTTCTGGGCAGGAGTGACAACAGTGAGCAAATCTCTACCCTTATGGCATTTACTTTCTAATGGTAGGTGTGGAGAGATAGGGAGGAGAGAGGCGGAGAGAATATAAGCAAGAAAACAAATTGAGAGTAAAATTTGAGAAGTGCTATGAAGAAAACGGAGTCATTTTAAACAGAATCATCAGGAAAGGTCTTTCCAAGGAAGCAAATATTTGACACTTGAATGGTAAGAAAGACCCAGTAAAGATATGTGGGAAGAATGTTGTAGGTAAATGAAAAAAGCAAACTGCAGTACCCATCTGTGGGAATAAGCCTGGCACATGTAAGGCTGACTAGGAAGCCAGTTGGCTGGAACACACAGGAGGCAGAGAGAGGGGCAGGGCCAGCCCACCACATGCCATGTGAGACACAAATGTGCTTTAGCATGTTGGGGAGATACAGGCAGGTGGTCTGCAGCAGGGGAGGAGGTGGTCCAACTTTGAAAAATAAGTCTGCCTATTCTAAGGTGAAGGGGATGAAGAATACAGTTACCAGGATAAACACTGTGTGATGTACAGAATTGCTGGACCACTGTATTGTACACCTGAAACTAATATAGCAACGTGTATTACCTATCCTGGAACAACACCACCAAAAAGTCTGCCAATTTCAGGAACCATGAATTTTAAGGAGATAAAATAGGTAGGTTGGTCAGTAGGAGTGCATAAACCAAACGGTCTTCTTATGATGAAATGTCAACTTACCAGCATTGAGAAGGAAGACACAACAACAGATGAAGGCTGTCAGATAAAATCCACCATCTAACTCAGTAAGATATCCACCAACCATGGGGCCCAAGATGAAGCCCACACTAGATGCTGCATTGAATTGTCCGATTACTAGCGGCCGTTCTTTCTCTGAAACCAGATCAGAAAGCAGAGCCCTTGAAATGGAGAGTGTATGTTTAAAAATACCTGCAAGGAGACAAGAAACATGCTATGTAACATTTTTTGGACCAAAAGAATTGTGCATGTGATCTTGCATTTCATCTCTGTCACTGATAGAGTTCTGGTCTCCACTGAACCTCTAAAGTCTGCAGTTTCATCCTGCCATGACTGGACTCCTGGTCTAACCTCACAGTCCTAGCTGACCACCTTATTCCTGGTAGCCACGCCCTGAGTCCTCTGCTTTCCCTCCTTCTACCAGGACATCCCAGTTATTTCCAGTTTTCTGTTACCCAAGTGCAATTAATTCATGGGTGGCTTCTACACAGAGATGTATCATTCTTTTTTCATTTGCTCAGTGAATAAACATTCACTGCACACTTACTATATGTCCTGACCCTGAAGTTAATGCAAGGAACAGAGAGCAAAATGGACACAAACATATGCTTCACAGAGTTTGTGAGTGTGCATGCACATGCGCATGTGTGTGCACGTATGTAAAGGTGAGAACTGCTAGAGAGCACCAGGGCAGGGAAAGAAGGATAGGGAGTGAGTAAAAATATAAAAATATGATGACATGGTCATCTATACACTATCAACTGCCTTTCTACTAGCAAGAGGTTTGTGAATTGGTTAACTAAACAAACTGAAAGGTGGGATAAGAGATTTAAGTGTATGGAACGACTTTATAGTCCTCATACTTCTGCTGATGTACTTGACTCGTCTTCATCCATACACCCATATGTTGAATACAGACTGATGGGTTCTGGTAGCATAGGTTGCCCACAGTGTTGATCAAAACATGGCAGGAACTCAATCAGCACTGCTGGTGGGTCAGCCTAAAGTGTTCTACCGGTTATGCAACACGGTGGCCTCCGGTGATCTCTGTGAAGTTAATATCACTCTGTATGTCACTCTGCCTGCATGCTGATCCTGGGTTCTATACCCAACTGTGTCTAAATATTAGAGCAGGCATTTGCCTGTAACCAGCCTCTTTGGGAAGCAAACTTATAAAGCTCTTTTGGAATTAGGTAGAAAGACTCTCTCTAGCGCTACTTCCTTAAATGTGAGATGATTCCTAAGAGGCCTGAGAGGAATCCTGTGATTATTTCTGAAATGATACCAATGTTGGGCTCACCTTACACACCCAAGGAAGGAGGAAGGTGAAGGTATCCTGTGAGCAACCCAGACTAGCTTCCTGTTACCTTTTAGAGGTTAGACTGGGGGACAGAGAAAGGAGGGGGAAACTATGTATCTAATCCCTGTACTTCAACCTCCCTCAGGCTCATCTTCAGGATACAAGGACCTGAACCTACATGTGACATTGTACAGCACAACTCTGGCAAAGCTCCCCATGGCTCCCTAATATTCTTGGGCTAACTAAACATTGTAGAGGTTCCTGTAGCAAGAAAGAATTTTTATATATAGCTCTCCTGTTGGCCAAGAGTATGATGTACATAATAGAGCCAGCACTACTCTAAGCAGGCTCATGTCATATTAAGTAAATATATTTTAATCTTCTCTATAAAATTCTACCTATTGTATACAGGATCTATTAACCTCATATATTTCTTTAGAATTATGAACAGCCTTACTGCTGAATGGTGGACCATATTATATTTATACATTGCAACCCAAACAAAGCATGTATAATAACTTCAACTTCAGATGCACACAGAGCAGCCTTTGGTTGGATTTTGTGTGGTAGGGAGGCAAGTTAGGATACTGCTCATATTTATTTTAAAGCATATTTTTTGAGTCAAAAGAAAGGCACAGCACAAATTTTGGAGGGGTGAACTCAAGACTTTGAGATTAAGTATGTATGTCATAGAAATGGTGTGAAAATCCCAAATAAGCTGATCATCAACTCTATGTTGATGAAAAGGACTTATTTTATGCTTTGTTCCTCTGGGACATTACGTAAAAATGAGCAGCTTAATATGGGCAGAGGTCCAGTGTTGCAAACTTGTCTACCAGGGCAGCAGTCTGTCACCGCTCTATTGAGTAAGGGGAGAAGGAAACACTGAAACTCCAGGGCTCTAACAGCTAAGAAAGGCAAAGAGAGAATAAAGAGCTTCCACAGGAACTGCCTATAAGCCACAGTATGACAGCACTCACGAGCACTGTATCAAAGAATGGACAAAATAAAAGCTATTTTGAAAATGTCAGAAACATTCAAGATCAGTTTGGAAACAGACACTGACCCATAAGTCACTACATCGTCATCCTAGTATCTCCCTCAAGCAACAGCTAGAGTTACAGAAGGCTGCAGGAGAGCTACAGTGGGAAATTTCAATGTGAAGTCAGGAAGCCCAGTTTTAAAACTGTTCACTTGAAAAGGGAGAGAATAGTAAACATAGTGCTGGCCAAAGACATTTTTTTTTTTTTTTTTTTTTTTTTTGGCCAAAGACATTTAACAAATTCTTACTGATTGAATGTAGGGAGATCAATGGGAAGGAGACAGGTCTACACAGCAGCATAATGATTCACACTGACAGTGAGGGCTCCAGGCCCTGGGCCCTGTCATGTAGCTCTGTAGCTCCAAGTGAGCAGAGCCTGACTGATACTAAGTGAACCATCAACAGCAGCAGCTGGTGTTCCAGTTATAATTGCTCTTGCCATTATTCTCTCTTTATATAACCTCTTATCAAGAGGGCACCAACAGAGGTGCCTGGGTGGCTCAGTTGGTTAAGCATCTGACTCCTGGCTTCAGCTCAGGTCATGGCCTCAGGGTCCTGGGATCAAGCCCCGAGTCAGGCTCTGTGCTCAGCATGGAGTCTGCTGGAAATTATCTCCCTTTCCCTCTGCTCCTCCCCAAGCTCACACCTGTTATCCCTCTCTAAAATAAATAAAATCTTAAAAAAAGAAGGCACTGACAAGTAAGACTGTCTCTCTTTATACATTTACATATAATTGATTTATTTTGAATGAAAAGGGCAAGAACTTACCCACAGGGATTCTAGCAAGGGCAAACAGGAACACATTGGTGGATGCTCCAAGAATCAGATAACCCAGGGCACTGAACAGAATGCACACCAGCAAGGAAGATCGTCTTCCAACCACATCACTCCAGCAGCCCTGAGGAAAGCAAGGAACACAGAAAGTCCTCGACTCACCACCTTTAATAACCACCACCATCTCCACCAGAGTAATCCCCGCCAGATGTTACCAAGATGTATTGCCAGATGGGAGACGACTTACCACCAATGTGCTGGAAAAGAGCTGCAAAATGCCATAGGAGGAGCCTACAAAAAACATCAGTAACATCAAGAAAATCAGCAGGACCCACCACAAAAATGGATTAACTTGGTAACAATTGTATAGAAATTAACAGGAAAACATTAGGGGAAAACAGAGACCATTTTTAAAAATGATATTCCCCCCTCCCAACTTTTTTTCAGTTGGAAGAGTAAAGCAATACAATTTTTATTAAAAGACCTTCAAAATAAAATTGAAGGAAGCAGAAGAGAGACTTAAGGCAAGGGCTGCCCATTCTATCCGAGAGGATCTCTCCCGCTTTATGAGGGTGTGGTCCCTCAATTGAGAAGACCCAACAGAGAGGACTCAGGGGAGTAGAAATTCAAATCTTCTAACAGTTCTACTAAGTCTTAAAATTTTTGTATTATCTTTTATGCCTCTAACATTCCAGTTTTATGAAATGCTTTAGTTTCATAAAGAACTGACAAATTTTACAGAGTATTTTTGCCTCCACTACATCAAATCACATGTCCCTTCTGCTCTTCATAAAAACCTTCATGCTGCTGTGTGGGCCAGTGTAACTCTATTTTCCATGGGAAACACAAATCATGGCATGGAGGACTTACCAAATACAGTGTATACAACTATCCCCAAACATTTGCTTATCCAGCTTGTGAATAATCAGTTGTTAGTCTTAACAATTTTTTGTTAATTAGCACAATCCTAAGCTCTGCTGTGTCCTGTCTCTTTGGTAAATAGTGACTTTCAGATGGAATTTTTATGCTGCACAGGTAGAGAAACCCTATCATCCATCCAAGACACCCTGGTGGTGGTGCAGGAAGCTTGCAACCAATTTGTCAAGGCTCACTCGAAGTCTCTTTGCAACAGGACTTGATTTCTGTGGATTACGTTTCTGGTTCCTGCAGGCTGAAGTCTGCACCTAGCCTTTAACATACACAGCCAACTCCTTGGAAAGGCTCAGTAAGTAACTGTAATATGGTTGGTGGTGAAGGAAGGGGAATGATGTTAACCCTCAAAACCTCTCTGAACACAGGTAGTCTAGGAAAGATGAATTACATTCGCTCCAGGATAATATTTTGAAATATTCTAAAAATTCCTTTTATTCCACTTTCAGTTTACCTTTGGGTAATATTCAGCTATAAGACTCATTTGTTTTTAGGTGCTTAGTCCAGAAGATTGAAAATTCGGTGCTCTAAAAATGTGCAATATTAGCCACTTACCTACTATTCCAGCAACTGTTGGACTTGCTCCAAGAGACTTGACATGAAGGCTCAATAAAGGGACGACCATGCTGACACCAAACAAATCCTAAACAACAAAACACTGATTAATACAAATTAGAAACTGATGCTTAGGTGTTCCTAAAGTAGTAATGCTAATAAGACTGATTAAAAAAATAAAACCAGTATCTAAATTTTGAGCAAATAAGAAATCATAATTGCATCCTATAGTATGCTATACCCATTAGGTTAAAGTTATCAGAGAATCAAAATACAATTGTTTTATAATGGTTGCTACCTATAAAGGCCTGATCACCCTGACCTAGAATCATTTCAATCTTAGCTTCCTTTAACTGATCCTTAATATTCAAGGAGGACGTGCTATAGAAGTGAATCAAATAGAAAAACCAAAAAGTGTTTGTGTGTAATGAAGGGGGAAAGGAGGCAGGGATAATGCATATTTCTTGGCAAAGCAGCACTTGTTTCATAATATGAATGTCGTCCTGGAATCAGGGAACGTGACTAAAAGGTGGTTTATAGCCTAATCAAGTACTATCTGAAAAGAAAGTCTCAGCAAACCAGGAAGGAGAGAGAAGGATGGGGCAGTGGGGAAAGCCAATGTTCTGCAGCTAAGTCAATGAAAGCGCATGGGATTTGGGGTCAGAAAGACAGTTCTAAGCTCCAGCTCTATTACTTACTAAACATGTGTGCTTGCAAAGCTATTTAATGTCACCAAGCATCAGTGCTGTCATCTGTAAAGAATGGGGATAGTAACACCTGTCTGGTAGAAATATGATGTACATTAAGAGATGTAATGGCTGTGAAAGGTGTAACACACAACAGAAATTCAAACATATTTTCTTTTTTCTCCAGTCCTGGGGATATGTACTGATCCTTTTTGCTAGGTATTCTGAGTTCACAGAAAGAATGAATTTTTCCTTTAAGTTTTGTTCTTATTCCTACTTCACTTGGTTACTTGCATTAAGTGCTTTAGAAGAAGGAAAACACAGTGCACACACAGTTTTCTTTATATTCAACTGGAATTCTTTTTTTTTTTAATAATCCTGGTTAAACAGTAAGAAAGAAATGCACAAAAAATATTTTTTCTTTGGGACCACAATTAATCTTCTGCTTGCCCCTTTTCTTGGTGCTGTACATTCACTTAATTTTAGAAACACGAACCTCTATGCACTTTTCAGTGGCCCCTTTCCATGGTTACATCTTTGATGGCCATGTATTTACTATCCAGTGTCCTTAAATAGCTCATAAATTTATATTATTAGAACTACAGCTTATTATATTGATTTTAAGGATTTTAGAACTACAGCTTATTATATTGATTTTAAGGACTTTAAATTTCTTTTGGGTCTAAGCCAATGTCTTTTGGGCTTTGCTGTCCGCTTTGTTTCATCAACTTGCTGATGTATGATACTTAAAAGACCCAAAATACATCAGTTACCTACTGAATTTTCTGGATCTTTCAGAAAAGGAATCATAATTGTCCAAAAAGATTTTTTTTCCAAAAAATTCCCAGTTCCACTTGTCATGTAACATTCAAAAGGTTATTCTCCATAAAAGATAAGAGAGAAATAATTAAGTAGGCTGATATTTATGGAAGGCAATAAGAAAACAGAGTAATAAGTAGTAGCTGCAGATCAGTATATTTTAACACTTTATAGCCTGAAAAAAAAATTATCTATTTCCAAGGGTGCGGGTGCTACTTCTTTCAGGAAGTTGTGTCCTAAAATTCTCTTCCCCTTTACTATAAAAGGCAACTCCTCTCTTCCTGTGAATCCACAGCCTCCTCAAAACCACTGGCTTTGAAAGCACTTTGAATGTGGCAACTGGTCATGTGCTTGTAACTGTTTAAAAAAGGAAATCAGGTGAGAGAGGACCTCTTAAACCTTTCATGGAACACTGACATCTCTCAACGAAAATTGGTGAATACACTAAAAAGTTTTAGGATCTTTTTCAGGATAGGAACCCAATTATTTCTTGATTAGAAATTGCCTCTTGATTAGAAATTGCATAAAAATGAGTAAGAGTCCTGACTATAGCTGATGAAATAAAATACAAATCTTACCATGTGTCTGGAGGAAAAAAGGGATTGAAATCATAGATTTTAGCACCATCTTACAATGTTAACCAAAAAGGGCCTAGAGGGCCATCTTCATCTTCCTTCTTAAACAAATTAAAACCTAGAAGCCCAGATGAGAATTAAAAACAGAATACTTTGGTAAATGACTTCTTTAATCTTGTTCCGTTCCTCTCTTATTAATCCAAAACTATTTCCCCAAAAGTCTTAGGGGTCTTCACATCTCTAAATATATTTAAAGTAATAACTAAGTTATGCATAATATTCCTTAGATGTTACCTAACAAAGAGCCATTAGATCCTTCAAGAATATCCAAAGCTGCACATATTTTAATAAAGCTTACAACATTTTCCATTTTAAAAAAAAAAGGCCTACTCTCTTAAACTTTTGGGAAATCTTACATTTTTCCCTGAACATATTAGAGACCTAATAACTGTCTTGCACAAATTATTAAAATTTTACATCGGGCTTGCTAAATTAGACTCGCTGTGTGCACAGCACCTAGACAACATATGAGAAGCTCTGTATAGTCAAATCTATATCAGAAGGCCAACTTACAGTGAATGATCTGTGAATTTATTGAAAACATTCAAACTATTTTGAATTTTAGGTCATGTTGGTTTCTCTGAACTCCAATTTGGACTTTCCAGGTGAGGGCCCACCTTCTTTTCATCTGGCAGAACCAGACAAGTAGCACTGTCTGAGAGAGGGGAGCAGTAGCATATAGCCAGTCCCAGACCCTCCCAGAGGGTGGATGGCAGTCAGCTCCCTTCTGGAATTTCAAGAACCACTCACAATCAATAGTTCTGAATTGTGGGTGACTGGAATGGAAGGTGGAAGAGGTGTATCTACACCCTGAGACTGAACTAAGATTAAGGAATGCCAGGCTCTGAACTGGAAGCACTGGGCCTGGGGGTAGGGTAGGCAAGGTTAACTGCAGGCAGAGATTCTGTGTGAGGTGCTGCCCTCCTGAGAGCCTCATGGTGCTGTGTTTACAGGGATTTGGAAAATGCTTTCATCATTGTCTTAACAATTATAACTCAACATCAAACCTTTGCAGACTGATGAACACCTTGCATTGGGAAACTGCCTCCCTGCTTCTCTCCTAGCTGAGCATGGATCAGTATCCAAACTCCAGTGAGGCTAACATACTGGGGAGTAGTGGTCTTCACCTGCATCTGGGCAGAAAACACCAATTCTTCTTTGCCAGGACCTAGTGCCTTTGGGAACTATTCAAAGCCTCAGGGGGCAGTCTTTGCCCAGTGACACTTAACCTGACCAGTCCCTTTTGTCCTCAAGATATAGTCTTAGTCTCCGCAAAGAAGAAATCCTACTGGGTCCTTGTCCCAGTTCTCCCCTAACCTGGACCAGCTTGCAACCAGGGCAACTGAACCGGGTCTAGACTTTGAAGGAGAGGAGTGAGGAGTTGGATCTAGGGTTCCTGCATAGGCTCATGAACTACCAACACAAGCTTCCTAGTAATATTTTAAGTTCTTTCTGGCAGGGACTGTGTATTTCAGTGAATGGAGCTCCACAGACTCCATTACATTAAGGTTTTCAGAAATTCTATGAATAATAAATGGAGGGAGGTAGGGATGACTTCCCCTCACACTCATCTTTTTAAGCTTTCCATTCTAGGTTGGAAATTCATAATAACTGTTCTTACTGAACTAGAAACCCCTCCCCCCCGACAAATCATGAAAAAAAAAAAAGTCTGCCTTTTCCAAAAAACAGTTTGTTGAAAGGCAGATGTGTCTAAGTCACCGTGGTTTGCATTTTTAAACATTCTAGCCTACCAGGAACCCTAATGAAATGTGCCTAAGTCTGCCCGAGCGGGGTCATCAACACTGACTGGCCTGTGTATTCCGACCACACCTACGGACAGCACAAGAGCCAGGGCTCCCCAAACCTGCCCAGGAGCCCTGCCGTCCACCTGCGTGCTCTGTACGGTTCACAGGATCCAACGCCTGGGGTCACCCTTGAGCCGGGCGCAGTCACAGGACAGGCTGGCGCAGGGGGCTCTTAAAGGGCAGCGGGGGCAGAGGAGCTGCGGGCCGGGCCCGCGAGGGGCAATACAGCAATGTGGCCTGGTGCAGGGTGAAAGGGATTTGGGGGCAAAAAGGGGCTTAAAGGTTAAGAAGGCATCACCAGGTAGATGGCAGGTTCTCAGCCCTGGCTGAGGTTTACATCCACCCGGGCTTCAGGAAACAAACAAACAAACACGTCTCATCGGGTTCTGGGCTCCAGATGGAAGACGCCGTCGCCCTGCAGCCCCAGCCCCAGCACTCACCAAGAAGCCCACCAGGTAAAGACACAGCAGGAAGCGGCGGGCTCCGACGGCACCGGGGCCGCCTGCCCGCGCCTCAGCCCCGGCCCCCGACTCCTGCCTCGGCATCTGGGCCGCCGGGGCCAGGCCGCCGCGACCCCCCGACTCCCAGCCGCCGGGTTGGGGGCGCGGCTCCCCGCGGCCGCTGCCGGGACCTCCCCCCGCGCGCCGGCCCCGCCCCGAGCGGAAGTGAGCGCGCCGGCCCCGCCCCGGGCGGAAGTGAGCTGTGTGCGCCTGCGCGGAGGGGCGCGCGGGGGCGGGGCGACGGCCCGGGGCGGCGGGCGCGGCGGGCGCGGCGGGGTGTGGGATGATCTCCCCTTTTCCTCGGAGAAGAGACGGCCTCTGGTACTGGAGGGCGGGAGGGAACTGCTGAGCTTCCCCATAGAATGTGGGGCCCGCGGCGACCCACAGACGTAGACCGTCGTTGACCCTGAGTGACCTGGAGACTTGGGTCTGCCTGTTGCAAAAACAGGCAGAAATGAGGTGGACTCACCTCAGAGCGCTGTGAGCATCCTGCAAATGCATCCTGAGCCCGAGAGGTTCCGGTTCCCGGGACTCACAGAATCAACGTGATAAGTCATTTAATTCATAAGCGTGTAATGTACAAGAGGAGAGGAGGAAGAACGCGATAAATAAGATACTACGGTGACAAACGGGAGAGAGCACGGTCTCCGGGTGGGGACTAAGGAGTTAGCTGGCGTCCGTAGGCAGCATGGAAGAGGTGACAAGTGGGCCGAGGAGATCGGGGACGCGAATGTGGCCGAAGCTTTATGAACAAACTGATCTGAGAGATAGGCAGGAGGCGGGGTCATTCAGGACCTTAAAGACCCTGGTAGAGCTTTAAGGCCTTACTCTCAGTGCAGTGAAAGGAAGGAAGCAGAGCGTGAGACCCAAGTGGTGTGTGTCCATCACTTAACACAATGACTGACACATGGTAAGCACTTAAGAAACGTTAACTGTGGTTACTAGCCCTCTTTTATTCAGGAACTTATTTCAGCCCTTGCTCCTTTCAAGCTCTGGTATCAAGAGTCTGAGATTTTCATGAAAATCTCAATTTACCATCGTGCAGGCAGCTAAATGACTACATCTATGGATTCGATGTTGCAGAATTTGTCCTATGAAAGTTGGGGCACTCTTTAGGGAAGAATGGAATACTGGAATTTAGGAGGGAGATATGTGGTTGGAGCCAGATGAAACACAATCTTGAGACCCCCACCCTAGGCCACTCTGAGTCTCCTTTGCCACTAGAAATAGTTTGTCCTCTTGTATGGGAGGAAACTAGCCTTACTGTGCTTAACGTTTTTGTGATTAACGCATTCGGGGTAGGTGCCTTGAAGAGGAATGCCCGTTTTTCAAGACCCATCGAAACCACTCACTGTGTTCACTAAATAAATAGGGTAAAATCTGTGTTCCTGGGGGCAGATGGACACTATGACCTCGAAGAAAGTGTGACCAAAAGAATTGAAAGACTCCCATATAATCAGCATACCTTGGAAATGTGTGGGGTAGAGATTTTAAGTGTGTCAGATTAAGGAGGAAAAAAATATAACACTAGTTTGGGCAGAATTCACTGATAAGGTGCACTTAACTAGAGATTCCAGATGTAATGTGTTAGCTTGGAGAGCTGGAGGTGGCTCTCGTAATCTCCTGGGTTGGTTGACTGCAACATGGACCCAGAGCTGACCTACATTTAATTATCTTGGGGTGCCAGGGGTTTTCTGACTTAATATGAAGAAGAGAATCCAAAGCTTGGGGAGGTAAGAATGTTAGAGTGGATTTATGATGTATGACCTGCATGCCTATGCCCCAAATATATTCCATAAAAAAGGCCCAGAAGATACTACCTATTAAGGCATTAAGGACTATGTTAGAGAAACATTTACATTCTTGAAAAGATTTGTTATTGCTCTCTTTTGTAGGCTGGGTGTAGCTATGGGTGATAATGCTGTTGAGGTGAGCTCCCTGGTTTACTTTTTAAAATATTTTATTTATTTATTCATAAGAATACACAGAGAGGAGAGAGAGAGAGAGAGAGAGAGAGAGAGAGGCAGAGACACAGGCAGAGGGAGAAGCAGGCTCCATGCAGGGCACCTGATGTGGGACCCATCCTGGGTCCCCAGGATCATGCCCTGGGCTGTAGGTGGCGCAAAACCACTGAGCCACCGGGGCTGCCCAGCTCCCTGGTTTAAATGGAGGTGATATGATTCCAGATTATTAGAGGCCAGATGGCAGCACTTTGATATCAAAGGCAAGGTGGGTGCATTTACTGTAAAAGGTAGCATGTATCAGTAATCAGAATGCCTTGGCTTTCAAGGATCTTTGGCTAATTGACAATAATATCGCTGGGAATGAAATAGTCTATCAGAGAATTACTTGATATATATAACAGAAAAACCTCTGGATTGTGTACCCCAAATCCTGACTTGACTTACACTAGGATCTGGGATCACAGCCTCTCACCCAGTACTAGACATAAATCAATTCACAAGCAGAGCCTTTTGACTTAGGGGGAGTCTAGATAATCTTAGAAGGAATCTTGAAGCATTCATGTGAGTGTATACCATAAGTCTTCCTCCAGACTTCTCCCCTGTGGAACCTACAACTGTTACAAGAGTGGGCATTATGAAAAAGGAAATACCCAGATCTTTGGAGAATTACTAGAAATTGGCTCCAGAGACACACTAATCCTTAGGGGCTCACAATGTCACTGTGCCCCACCAGTAAGAATGGAGCTGTACTGGTAATTGTCAAGACCATGTCCTAGATTCAGTGATTTGCTAGGAGAACTCAAGACTCAACATATAGTCACAGCTAAGAATATTACAGGAATATGACACAAAGCAAAATCAGCAAAGTGACTTACATGGGATGAAGTCTAAAGGAACATTGGTACAAGCCTGCAAGCATCTTATCCCAGTGGAGTCACACAAGACATAATTAATTCTTCCCGCTATGAGCAGTGATATATGTGAAATGTTGTCTACCACAAGAAATTGTCAGAGACTCAGTGCCCATCTATCACCTCACTACTCTAAGCTACTGTGCAGAAGAGTTAACATGGCAGGCCTATTATCCTTTGAAAAGTCTGACTATTGTCCTTTGGGACAGTTATATGCAAAAGAATGAAACAGGACCACTTTCTTACACTATACACAAAAATAAACTCAAAAAAGATAAAGGATCTAAATGTAAGACATGAAAGCATAAAATACCTATAAGAAAACATAGGCAATAATTTCTTTGACATTGATTTTAGCAAGATTTTTCTGGCTACATCTCCTTAGGGGAAACAAAAGCCTCCCCCATTCACCTAGACATAAGGTTGTATGTGCCATCATGAAATGGAAGTCAGTATTGGGCTGTTCCAGAAATTAGAAACTGTGTGAGCAGGTGGATTGACTTTGAGTCCTTCAATACTGACACCTGTTGCACTGTCTCCATCCATGGCCTCTTGGGAGTTCCTCACAACCAACTGACTGAGGAAGAAAAGTCTTGAGGTTGGTTTACAAATGATAGGCATGACATTCTGGTACCATCACAAAGTAGACCCCTGTAGCACTATAGTACTACACAGGAGTGACTATAGTGGTGAAAGAAAATCTTAACATTGCTTGGAACTTCAAGTGGCAATTTGGTTGGTCACTGGAGTGAAAGATGGCCAAAAAAATAAAATACACTATTTATGGGCAATTTCTAATAGGCTAGATGGAATAGATTTGGGAGATAAATTATAAAGAACTCTAGAGAAGAGATGTATGGCTGGATGTCTAAAGAGGCACAGGATGTAGAAGATAACTTTTCTCCAGTGTGAATGCCCATCATTGGATGTCTACTGCAGAGAGCTTTTAAAAACCAGGTAGACAAAATTATGTGCTCTTTGGATGTCCCTACCCAAACCAATGTTTCTTCAATGTCTCCATGATCAAAGTAGCAGTGGTTACATAGATGAAGACTATACATAGGCTTAAAAGCATGGCTTCACTTATTAGTGATACTGCTTGATGCCTAATATGTCAACAGCAGAGACCAACAATTGATTCCTCCTATGCCACCATTCCCTGAGGGAGCAACCTGATAGAAAGTTGATTGTATCAGACCTCTACTATTATGGAAAGTGCAAAGATCCATCCTCAATGGAATTAAGAAATATTCTGCATATACATTTGCCATCTCTATTTATAATACATCTGACAATACCACTATCCATAGACTCAGAGTAGCATATCTTCCACTATGGTATTTCACATAGTATTGCTTCTAATCAGTGTACTCCTTTCACTACAAAGGAAGTAATGCAATAGGATCATCCCTATTGAATTAACTGATCTTATCAGATTTCCCATCACCAAGAAGAGGTTGACCTAATTGAATGAGAAATGGCTTATTGAAGACTCAATTACAGTGCTAGATAGGAGACAATACCCTAAAAGAATGGAATTCTGTTTTAAAACGTATAGTATATGCTTTGAATTAGAGATCATTATATGGTGCTATCTCTCTCATTTCCAAAAGAGAGTTTAGGAATCAAATAGTACAAGTGGTAGTAAGTCCTCTCACTGTTGTAACTCCATAACTCACTTAGAATACTAATGCCATCTTGGCAACATTGAGCTCTCAGTTTTGAGGTCTTTGATCCCAAGAGGGCAATACTTCCACCAGGGTGGGTAACAAAGGTTCTATTGAGTTAGAAAATGAGACCATCACCTGTCCATTTTGGCCTGCATATACCACTAAACCAGAAAGAAACAAGTTACTCTACTGGCTGGAGCAATTGATTGATTCTGATTACCAAGGAGAAATTGGGTTGTTGTTATACAAATGCATGAAGTCTGTATGTGGAAAACTACACAACAAACAAACAAACAAAGATAAAACTATTGCGGAATCAGACCCTTTATTAATGAAGATTTGCATTCATTCCATGAGGTAAGTAAGGAACTCTGACCAGCTGATATTTTAGCAGAGGGCAAGTGAAATATGAGGTAGCAAAAGAAGAAAACCATAGATGATACAGCAACTATGACCTTGTGCCCAGTTACGGTAGTTACGGTAGTGGGGACTGTAGAAGCTCTGCACATTTTCTCTTTGTTCTACATGTATGATTACTTGTATATGCTAACCATTTTTTCTGTCTTCTTCCAAGTATAATTTTATAT